TCGCGTGCATGTACAGTGTTTCCTCCGACACAGTGGTGCGGCTGGCTTCCGGGTTAAGCGAGCAGTGTGTCAAGAAGCAGTGCAGCTTGGCAGGGTCGTGTTTCGGAGGACGCATGGCTCTCGACCTTCGCCTCTCCCGAGTCCGTACGGGAGTTGCAGCGATGGGACAAAAAACAACAACAAAAAAAAGATTAAGATCCACAGCACCACGGCTGAATAGAGGAATTACACCACCAGGCTAAAAAGCAATTTCCAGAGCTGTGACAGAGCAAGCAGAATAGTTCTGCAGCGCATTTCAAATGCAAATTGAATGTCACAATAAAATATGAAAAACTCCTGACCCCGGGAAGCCTGGTTTCCCAGAGAAACCCCCCTCTGGCGCCTCCCCCCTCTGAGCTGATAGGAGTCAGCAGCACACGGCTGCAGTGGATCTCTGGCCTGCTCTCTGAATACACCGATACAGGATTAGAAGTTGTGGAGTGCAGTTGGCAAAACAGGTGCCCTGATTATAATGGTGGGAGCTCGTCGCAGCATGAAATATATAACAGGCCAACACAAGGGAAATAATTTCCCAGTGAATCATTCAGACCTGCCTGGAATGTGATTGGCAGCTGCTGGAAGGGGGATGCTACATGCATCAGACTGTTGCTCAGATGTAGAGTATGCCCCGATGGAGGTGGGGGAGAGCAGAGAGGGGCTGCTTCTGATGACTACAGTATCTGTGCTTCGGAGCCCTAGATAATGTAGTAAAGGTGAAGGGGGCAAAGGGCAGGGCTTAGAGGATGAGAAATCCTGAAATAGGGCAGTGGGTAGGCTATTTCCTGCCATGTCCTGTGTGAGTGTACAACATCCAAGGAGGGGTAAAGCTGTCATTCTGATTCACCATGATCCTGCCTTGGCCTGTCACAGATCCAACGATGCAACTCAGGCTAATAGCTTCCGCTCTCTGATAACGCTAGGCCTTCCTCTGCTCAGTCTTTATTTTTTATTTTTACCCAGGCTATCTGTGAGAGGGATCATCATTGATCATTAGGCCTATAGACTGTCAATTACATTTTACATTTTAGTCATTTAGCAGACACTCTTATACAGAGCAACTTACAGTTAGTGAGTGCATTTATTTTATTTTTTCATACTGGCCCCCCGTGGGAATCGAACCCACAACCCTGGCGTTGCAAACGCCATGCTCTACCAACTGAGCTACACAGGTCAATCATCTCACTGGTCTCTTTCTAGAGGGTGCAGCTGGGTTCTCTGGGTTCTCTCTTTCTCTTTCCGCCCTCTCTCTCACTCTGCCTTTTTCTTTCTCTGACTGTATCTCTCTCTCTCTCTCCTTACAGTTTAGCGCTGCATCCGGAGCGTGTGCTGGTAGCCACGGGACAGGTGGGCAAGGAGCCTTACATCTGTGTGTGGGATTCCTACACCGTACAGACCGTGTCTATCCTCAAGGACACGCACACACACGGCATCGCCTGCCTGGCCTTCGACCTCGATGGACAGGTACAGTTCTGAGGAAGGGAAAGGGGATACCTAGTCAGTTGCACAACTGAATGCATTCAACCGAAATGTGTCTTCCGCATTTATGCCTAACCATGCTGAGTGTTCATACAAAAACAGTGACACATATGGCTACTCATGAACCAGTATTGAAAGAGTGAATTCCATGTAAAATGTGGATTTTTCTAAGAGAATGTAGAATACAATATTGAGCTGCATTAGTCACTGTAAACCTTCCACATCCCACCAATGTGGTGAGTGATTTGAAGGAGTCAGGCACATGAGGGTAAATCACAGACTAAAAGGGTTTATTCTGAAAGTACAGCGGTATGCAGCAATGCGTCAAACACATCCCGGCGATACAAAATACAAGGAGCTCCACTGAGCTAAACTAACCTCCACAATAAACAATCACACACAAAGACAAGGGGGGCAGAGGGAATACTTATACAGGTACTGATGAGGGGATATGAACCAGGTGTGTGTAATAAACAAGACAAAACAAATGGAATGATGAGATGAGGAGCGGCAGTGGCTAGAAGGCCGGTGACGACGAACGCTGAAGCCTGCCTGAACAAGGAGAGGAGGCAGCTTCGGAGGAAGTCGTGACAACATATCCCTCCTGTTGTACAAACTACTTTTACTGTACTTTGCTAGATTTCCATATTATTTAACTACATGAAGTGACAGATGTAGTGAAAAAACTCCAGACAGTTGCAGATTATTAGATTAACAGGAATAGTTCAGTAAGAGATTAATATAGCAGCTACATGTATGTACATGACTGTTGTCTCCTCCTCTGCTCTGGGATGGCAGTGGCGCTCCAACTCGGCACGCCCGCTGGGTTGCGTTTCTAAAATGACACATCTGTGATTACTTCAGCGGTATTAGCAGGACAGCTAAACAGAGAGAGAGAGAGAGAGAGCGTGAGAGAGGGGTTTAACTTTAAGAGTCAGCTGGAATCTTTTTCATCCACTGACTCACAGAGTTTGACAGCATGTTGTGAAGTTAAGGTGAGCCAACCAAACAGTATAGGCCCAGAGCTTTGATGACTGGAGGAAGCCTGTACTACAGTAGTTACTTACGAGGTTGTTTTCTCTGTGCAAACTCCTGCTATAGTATTGCAGCTTTTCATGCACATGTTCCCCAATGATAAATTACTAAAGGTATTTTGGGGAGTGTGCTGAGACAGTTTAAGACCTTCCCAAGACCTACATATTGTAATATGATACGTTATGACAGTAAAGGGGCGACAGGTAGGCTAGCGGTTAGAGCATTGGGCCAGTAACTGAAAGTTTGCTAGTTTGAATCCAGAGCCGATAAGGTGAAACATCTGTCGATGTGCCCTTGAGCAACGCACTTAACCTTAATTGCTTCAGGGTCGCCATTGATAATGGCAGACCCTGGCCTTGACCCTACTCTCCGAGGGTGTCTCAGGGAGAGTGGGATATGCAAAAAACACATTTCCAATTCTCACATGCGTATTAATGTACATGTGTGAAATAGGAAAAATATAAGCACCCACCAAATTATTAAATATCACATTTATTACTCTTCATGTCCATTTACTTTGTGTTAAAGTGTTAGTGCCCCCCCCCCCCCCCCCCCCCCCCCCCCCCCCGAGTCCATTGCATTTTAATAAAGGTTACTTATGTAACTGTTATTGTTTTGTTTGCTCTTTACAGTTTCATGTGAAATTCCACTGAAATGTTAGCTTGTTTGCCAACTCTCCACGGAGTAATACTTAGGGCTTATGTACAGTCAGGGTTTATGTACAGTCAGGGTTTATGTACAGTCAGGGTTTATGTACAGTCAGGGTTTATGTACAGTCATTTGCTGTCTAGTGTTTGCTGGAGTACTCATATTTCAAAAATCTATATGTCATGGCTCAAGCACTCATTTTTATCTCGGTGAGTCCCTCTGTGAGTCTCTCTAGGGCCCCTCAGAGTGGTTTTACCACCACTGTTTACAGAGCTAGACCATGTAAATTACCCCATACATTTTCCTGGTTGGATAGAGTCATCTGGGGATTGAGATAGGATGTGACAGTTGTAAAACCATAACAGGCTCTGGCTCTGAATGCCTCTGTGTTCACTGGGTTTCCTGATCACTTTCTGTCCTCTACGGATCTGGTAATGTCTATGTTCAAGTCAACATTTTGTGGATGAATTCCGTGTTATGTTGCCCCTTCCAGAAAATAAATAAAGCAACCATGTTGCTCTACTTCTGTATAGTAGCCTTAATATCCACATAGGGCTCTTAATTGCAACCAGTTGGTCACATATGCCCCTAAATATTTTTGCTGTGCATCCTGGAATTTTGATTTGGTAGCACCAGTGTAGCCTGGTTGCCAGTCTTTTTATTCCACTCCTTCTACTCTGTGTCATATGCCACAGAGTAAAAGGAGTGGAACGTTAGTTTAAAAGACTTGCAACCAGACTAGCACCAGTATGTGCAGAAAACAATTCACCCAGATAATAATAGCAACGTTCCCAAAGAAAACTACACTCTTAGAAAAAAAGGTGATATCTAGAACCTAAAAGGGTTCTTCAGCTGTCCCCATAGGAGAACCCTTTGAAGAACCCTTTTTGGTTCCAGGTAGAACCCTATTGGGTTCCATGTAGAACCCTTTCCCCAGAGGGTTCTACATGGAACCAAAAAGGGTTCTACCTGGAACCAAAAAGGGTTATCTTATGGGAACAGCTGAAGAACCCCTTTGAAACCCTTTTTTTTAAGAGTGTATTTTGAAAACTCAAACATATATTTTATGGAAAAGAGATGTTGTATGTTTCTGAATGATGTATCTTGCTGCCTTGTTGACAATATTACAGAGCGGCGCAGATTACTGTTCGATTTGAGCAGGGAGCGCCTCCCTCACCGGCTTCACCCTGTCCCGTGTCATAGCCCGGTGCAACCGACCCAGCTTAATCGAATCCCCTCAATGACAGAAGTTAGAGCCATGTGTAAGCCTAGCCCTTCGGAATAATGTCAATACATTTCTTCATGTAGACTTTTCGATCCAGATAATCTCAGCATTCTTTGCTGAATTAATACCCCCCAGTTTCACAATGTTTCATCATGAAGTGGAGCTCTACCCTTCATTAAAATACAGTCTTCTCAAACACAGTTAAAGTAGTTCTCATCCCCTCCCATGGATTCTCGCCATGCCCAAACATTGATTCAATGGCAGATCGAAGTGGCCACCCACCACCACACAGAGCAAGGTGCAGCAGAGTAGAGCTGGATTTCCATTAGCATCCCCTCTCCTGCTGCTGCCTACTCACTGGGCTATAGGAGCCCCTTCCAGCAGACCCATACAGATGGGCTCCCAGTCAGAGCCAGAGGCTTGGAAACTGGTGCTTTTACTGTATGCAGCCAATGTTATCTTTTATTTTATTGTAGTCGTAAGTCATATGAGTATAATGTAACAAAATAGTGGTGTTTAGAGTAGACTGTGGTCTGTACCATACATTCTGTTTCATAGAATGCTTTTTCCTTTGCAGTGTTTGGTCTCAGTGGGTCTGGACTCCAAAAACACGATCTGTGTGTGGGACTGGAGGAGGGGCAAGGTGCTGGCAGCAGCTCCTGGCCACGCTGACAGGGTAAGTATACTATAGCATCCTCCCCTCTCTGTCTCAGGCACCAGGCCCAGATCAATCTCCTCATTTACTGTAGTTATAAATGCAGCCAGGATGGAGCAGGAAGGAGCGGGAACCCAAAGGAGACGCACATAAACAAGTTAGGCCTGATTGATCGTTAGCATTCCAGACTCTGTCTGAAGAGATGCTAAGCTAATGAAATTGAATTTTAAAAAGATGATATGTATGCAGCTGTGTTCATTTTTATTCAACCAACATACACACAATGACTCACACAGATACAGACATACACACACTGCCACACCTTAAGTGTTTGTGTTAAGCCTTGTTTAATGACGTTAATTGAAGATGACATCAAAAGTGTTGTAAACGTATTTGTTGCACAGTATGTTTTGCATTTAATTGTACATAGTTAAACTTACCATGTGATCTATCCCACAGATATTTGATATATCATGGGACTTGTACCAGCCAAGCAAGCTTGTTAGCTGTGGTGTCAAACATATCAAGGTACTGTTTAAATCAAGTTCATACCTTACAAAGTGTGTTTGGATCTGTAATTGGTTGTATGTTTAGCACACACAGATACACTATACAGTACCAGTCAAAAGTTTGGACACACCTACTCATTCCAGTGGTTTTCTATATTTGTACTATTTTCTACATTGTAGATTAATAGTGAAGCCATCATAACTATGAAATAACACATATGTAATCATGTAGTAACCAAAAAACAAATCAAAATATATTTTATATGTGAGATTCTTCAAAGTAGTCACCCTTTGCATTGATGACAGCTTTGCACACTCTTGGCATTCTCTCAACCAGCTTCATGAGGAATGCTTTTCCAACATTCTTGAAGGAGTTCCCACATATGCTGAGCACTTGTTGGCTGCTTTTCCTTCACTCTGTGGTCCAACTCATCCCAAACCATCTGAATTGGGTTGAGGTCGTGTGATTGTGGAGGCCAGGTCATCTGATGCAGCACTCCATCACTCTCCTTGGTCAAATAGCTCTTACACAGCCTGGGGGTGTGTTTTGGTTCATTGTCCTGTTGAAAAACAAATGATAGTCCCACTAAGCGCAAACCAGATGGGATGGCGTATCGCTGCAGAATGCTGTGGTAGCCATGCTGGTTAAGTGTGCCTTGAATTCTAAATAAATCACTGACAGTGTCACCAGCAAAGCACCATCACACCTCCTCCTCCATGCTTCACGGTGGGAACAATACAAGCGGAGATCATCCGTTCACCTACTCTGCGTCTCACAAAGACACGACAGTTGGAACCAAAAATCTCAAATTTGGACTCATCAGACCAAAGGACATATTTCCACCGGTCTAATGTCCATTGCTCCTGTTTCTTGGCCAAAGCAAGTCTCTTCTTATTATTGGTGTCCTTTAGTAGTGGTTTCTTTGCAGCAATTCTACCATGAAGGCCTGATTCACGCGGTCTCCTCTGAACAGTTGCGGTTGAGATGTGTCTGTTACTTGAATTCTGTGAAGTATTAATTTGGGCTGCAATTTCTGAGGCTGGTAACTTAATGAACTTATCCTCTGCAGCAGAGGTAACTCTGGGTCTTCCTTTCCTGTGGCGGTCCTCATGAGAGCTAGTTTCATCATAGCGCTTGATGGTTTTTGCGACTGCACTTGAAGAAACTTTCAAAGTTCTTGAGATTTTCCAGATTCACTGACCTTCATGTCTTAAAGTAATGATGGACTGTCTTTTGTCTTTGCTTATTTGAGCTGTTCTTGCCATAATATGGACTTGGTCTTTTAACAAATAGGGCTATCTTCTGTATACCCTCCCTACCTTGTCACAACACAAGTTATTGGCTCAAAATAGGAAATCAATTCCACAAATTAACTTTTAAGAAGGCACACCTGTTAATTGAAATGCATTCCAGGTGACTACCTCATGAAGCTGGTTGAGAGAATGCCAAGAGTGTACAAAACTGTCATCAAGGCAAAGGGTGGCTATTTGAAGAATCTCAAATATAAAATATATTTTGATTTGTTTAACACTTTTTTGGTTACTACATGATTCCATATGTGTTATTTCATAGTTTTGATGCCTCCACTATTATTCTACAATGTAAAAAATAGTAAAAATAAAGAAAACCCCTGGAATGAGTAGGTGTGTCCAAACTTTTGACTGGTACTGTATATACAAAAGTATGTGGACACTCCTTCAAATTAGTGGATTCGGCTATTTCAGCCACAGGTGTATCAAATCAAGCACACAGCCATGCAATCTCCATAGACAAACATTGGCAGTAGAATGGCCTCACTGAAGAGCTCAGTAACTTTCAACGTGGCACTGTCATAGGATGCCACCTTTCCAACAAGTCAGTTCGTCAAATTTCTGCCCTGCTAGAGCTGCCCCGGTCAACTGTAAGTGCTGTTATTGTGAAGTGGAAAACTGGTAAGCCACACAAGCTCACAGAACGGGACCACCGAGTGCTGAAGCGTGTAGCATAAAAATGGTCTGTCCTCGTTTGCAACACTCACTACCGAGTTCCAAACTGCCTCTGGAAGCAATGTCAGCACAATAACTGTTCGTCGGCAGCCTCATGAAATGGGTTTCCATGGCCGAGCAGCCGCACACAAGCCTAAGATCACCATGCGCAATGCCAAGCGTCGGCTGGAGTGGTGTAAAGCTTGCTGCCATTGGACAATGGAGCAGTGGAAACGCATTCTCTGGAGTGATGAATCACGCTTCACCATCTGGCAGTCTGATGGACGAATCTGGGTTTGGCGGATGCCAGGAGAACGCTACCTGCCCCAATGCATAGTGCCAATTGTAAAGTTTGGTGGAGGAGGAATAATGGTCTGGGACTGTTTTTCATGATTTGGGCTAGGCCCCTTAGTTCCAGTGAAGGGAAATATTAACGCTACAGCATACAATGACATTCTAGACGATTCTGTGCTTCCAAATTTGTGGCAACAGTTTGGGGAAGGCCCTTTCCTGTTTCAGCATGACAATGCCCCCGTGCACAAGGCGAGGTCCATACAGAAATGGTTTGTCGAGATCGGTGTGGAAGAACATGACTGGCCAGCACAGAGCCCTGACCTCAACCCCATCGAACACCTTTGGGATGAATTGGAACGCCTACTGCGAGCCAGGCCTAATCGCCCAACATCAGTGCCCAACCTCAGTAATGCTCTTGTGGCTGAATGGAAGCAAGTCCCTGCAGCAATGTCCCAACATCAAGTGGAAAGCTTTCCCAGAAGAGTGGAGTTTGTTATAGCAGCAAAGGGGGGACCAACTCCATATTAATGTTCATGATTTTGGAGTTAAATATTCAATGAGCAGGTGTCCACATACTTTTGGTCATGTAGTATACAGTGGGGAAAAAAAGTATTTAGTCAGCCACCAATTGTGCAAGTTCTCCCACTTAAAAAGATGAGAGAGGCCTGTAATTTTCATCATAGGTACACGTCAACTATGACAGACAAAATGAGGAAAAAAAATCCAGAAAATCACATTGTAGGATTTTTTATGAATTTATTTGCAAATTATGGTGGAAAATAAGTATTTGGTCAATAACAAAAGTTTCTCAATACTTTGTTATATACCCTTTGTTGGCAATGACACAGGTCAAACGTTTTCTGTAAGTCTTCACAAGGTTTTCACACACTGTTGCTGGTATTTTGGCCCATTCCTCCATGCAGATCTCCTCTAGAGCAGTGATGTTTTGGGGCTGTCGCTGGGCAACACGGACTTTCAACTCCTTCCAAAGATTTTCTATGGTGTTGAGATCTGGAGACTGGCTAGGCCACTCCAGGACCTTGAAATGCTTCTTACAAAGCCACTCCTTCGTTGCCCGGGCGGTGTGTTTGGGATCATTGTCATGCTGAAAGACCCAGCCACGTTTCATCTTCAATGCCCTTGCTGATGGAAGGAGGTTTTCACTCAAAATCACATGATACATGGCCCCATTCATTCTTTCCTTTACACGGATCAGTCGTCCTGGTCCCTTTGCAGAAAAACAGCCCCAAAGCATGATGTTTCCACCCCCATGCTTCACAGTAGGTATGGTGTTCTTTGGATGCAACTCAGCATTCTTTGTCCTCCAAACACGACAAGTTCTCTTTTGGTTTCATCTGACCATATGACATATGACATTCTCCCAATCCTCTTCTGGATCATCCAAATGCACTCTAGCAAACTTCAGACGGGCCTGGACATGTACTGGCTTAAGCAGGGGGACACGTCTGGCACTGCAGGATTTGAGTCCCTGGCGGCGTAGTGTGTTACTGATGGTAGGCTTTGTTACTTTGGTCCCAGCTCTCTGCAGGTCATTCACTAGGTCCCCCCGTGTGGTTCAGGGATTTTTGCTCACCATTCTTGTGATCATTTTGACCCCACGGGGTGAGATCTTGCGTGGAGCCCCAGATCGAGGGAGATTATCAGTGGTCTTGTATGTCTTCCATTTCCTAATAATTGCTCCCACAGTTGATTTCTTCAAACCAAGCTGCTTACCTATTGCAGATTCAGTCTTCCCAGCCTGGTGCAGGTCTACGATTTTGTTTCTGGTGTCCTTTGTCAGCTCTTTGGTCTTGGCCATTGTGGAGTTTGGAGTGTGACTGTTTGAGGTTGTGGACAGGTGTCTTTTATACTGACAGTCCGGTGCCATAACATGTGGAAAGCCTCTTAATAATTGGTCTATAGAGCCAGTGACCAACTCCAGAATTTGTCATTGATTTTGGAGTGTGAACCTATGATGAAAGGTATCCAGAACTTGCCATGTGCTATATTGTCCCATATGTTGTCTAATGTAGTACATAACCAGTCTGCTTTTGAAAAGGTGTGATGTCTTGTGTCTTATTTACATAATGTTTTCAGAAAGTTCCGCAGAGAATTTAATGGTAATGCACTCCTTTTCTCTCTGTCTTCTTTGCTTTATCGCTGTGATCATATCAAAGCCCTAAGTGATATATGCAAATTACTTTTATTCTGGAGTTTATGACTATTAATCCATAACATCAGTAGGACAGGCAATGACTCATAGAAATCTATTTTTTCATGTTAATCTCTATTAATGTGGACTGCAGAGGAGGAACAATTTCTTATTTTTAAAGGAGAATTCAGCATTTTTCCCTTTCAGTTCTTCACATTCAGCTTTACATTTCTCTATACAAACTACTGTCTTCAATGAAGCACTCATATCTCTGCAAAGCCTTGTATTAGATTCATGGTGTTCCACTTAAATGGTCATTAAACACTACTCCCCAAATGAAATTTTGACCAAATTGTTGTCTTGAGAGAGAGATATATCACAGGGAACTTCTGTTTTCATAGGATACTTTTCATTTAGTTGAGTGTGCTTCTGTGTGTGATTGTGTGTTTATCATTGGGATAGGAATTGATCTACAGTTGAAGTTAACATACACCTTAGCCAAATACATTTAAACTCAGTTTTTCACAATTCCTGACATTTAATCCTAGTATAAATTCCCTGTCTTAGGTCAGTTAGGATCACCACTTTATTTTTGAGAATGTGAAATGTCAGAATAATAGTAGAGATAATGATTTCTTTCAGCTTTTATTTCTTTCATCACATTTCCAATGGGTCAGACGTTGATATACTCAATTAGTATTTGGTAGCATTGCCTTTAAAATGTTTAACTTGGGTCAAACGTTTCGGGTAGCCTTCCACAAGCTTCCCACAATAAGTTGGGTGAATTTTGGCCCATTCCTCTTGACAGAGCTGGTGTAACTGAGTCACGTTTGTAGGCCTCCTTGCTCGCAGACGCTTTTTCAGTTCTGCCAACAAATGTTCTATAGGATTGAGGTCAGGGCTTTGTGATGGCCACTCCAATACCTTGACTTTGTTGTCCTTAAGCCATTTTGCCACAACTTTGGAAGTATGCTTGGGGTCATTGTCCATTTGGAAGACCCATTTGCGACCAAGCTTTAACTTCCTGACTGATGTCTTGAGATGTTGCTTCAATATATCCACATAATTTTCCTTCCTCATGATGCCATCTATTTTGTGAAGTGCACCAGTCCCTCCTGCAGCAAAGCATGATGCTGCCACCCCCGTGCTTCACGGTTGGGATGGTGTTCTTCGGCTTGCAAGCTACCCCCCTGTTCCTCCAAACATAAAGATTATGGCTAAACAGTTCTATTTTTGTTTCATCAGACCAGAGGATAGTTCTCCAAAAAGTACGATCTTTGTCCCCATGTGCAGTTGCAAACCGTAGTCAGGCTTTTTTATGGCGGTTTTGGAGCAGTGGCTTCTTCCTTGCTGAGCGGCCTTTCAGGTTATGTCAATATAGGACTCGTTTTACTGTGGATATTGATACTTTTGTACTTCTCCAACCTAAGTGTATGTAAACTTCCGACTTCAACTGTATCTACCTTATCTGTAATATGGAGGTACTATCCTCCTTGACATAGGTTTAGTATTTCTCAGGGGACATGGATCTCAATGATGACTCTCCATCCTATTTGCCCTGCCTGTTGTCTCCCCCACCCCCCACCCCCATCCCTCATGATAATACCCCTACTCTCCCACAACCCCACTGCAGCGAACCAATCCCCCCTCTCTCTCTCTCTCTCTCTCTCTCTCTGTCTCTCTCTCTCTCGCTTTCTCTCCCTCTCTCCCTCCCTCTCGCTCTTTCTCCCTTTCCATGTCTATCTCTCTCTTTGTCTTTCTCTCTCTCTCTTTCTATCGCATGATGCCAAGGCAATCCAGCAATCGCCCCACATAATTCCCGAGCCTTTACCCTGCGGACCATGTGACATCTGCTCCCCAGCCCTGTGCTCACTCAGCGATTATAGCACTCAATGCATCCAGGAGATTTAGCCCCAATAATCCCCTCACTACAGTCCCAGAAAAACACAGTCTCTGGGACTGTCTGCCGCCCCCACCTCCACACAAAAGACAAGAGGGAAGCAAGAGGATCCACCATTAGCTAAAATCCTTTTGCGATCAGAAGGTCATTTGATTTGGCTTTGACTGTGACATTTGCTTAGCAGCCATGTGCCTGGGACTTGCAGACACGCACGCGTCTGGCTGTTCAATGATTAGTTGTCCCCCACGATTAAGTCGGGGAGGGGACTGTGGATCTGTCTCCGTCCGTTGGTACATTAGTACGTTCGTACGTTAGTCACACGCGATATCTCAGACAGCACTGGCCCAATTTTGACAAAACTTGGGTGAATGATGTGTCTTGCCATAGAGATCTGGCATTTACACAATTACACTGATTGGCCAGATGGTGGCGCTATAACAATATATTTAAAAATCTTACTTTGAAAGATCTCGCCCCTCACCCCGTTTGACCTAAAGTCATGAAATTCGGTACATAGGTCACTCGCCTCACAAGGAACACATTTGCCTCAGGGACCCATAAGGTCCGCCATGATGGAATTTCCGCCATTTAGAATTTTGTGAAGAACACTTAAAACGCTACTTTTCTGGCACAAATCTTGATATGTGGCATCTATGGACAAAGGTCTCTCAACGCAATATTTTCCAGACTAGTACCTAAAACATGGTTGCCATTGACCAATAAACATTCATGTGGGTGTGGTCTGGCACATAAATGCATATAAATCAGTCAAGGATATTTGTATTGTAACATACATTTGTACATATGTTGCAAACACTGCCAAGACTCAGCATATGCAAGAACATTCATATTGACCACACAGTGGCGCTATAACGGGCACATGTTTATATCTCTTCATCTGTTTGACTCAGAGTGATGAAATGTGGTACACATGTTCAGGGATATTAGTCTAGCTAACGTACACAATATCTCATACACCACTGTCCCGATTTTGGCAAAACTTGGGTGAATGATGCGTCTTGTCATAGAGACAAAATTACACTAATTGGCCCAAGGGGAGCGCTATAGTAATCAACTGTACGTACATTAGTCACACGCGATATCTCAGACACCACTGGCCCAATTTTGGCATTTGTGGGGGACGACGTTTACTGTTGCCTTGATTAAGGAGATCCTGCCGTGTGTCTATCACCCTTAGCGCTCTGTTCGACCTTCACGTAGGTGGCACCCAATGTGCACATATATACGCTCAACCACACTAACACACATTCTGTGCTGAGCTGTTAGGGAGATCTTGATATTTTGAGGATGTAGACAGGCAGACAAGAGAGGCAGACATGCAAACAGGGATGCTTAAGCTGTAGGGTGGGATGATTTCAAAGCCTCCTCCGGCAGGACCCTGACACAAGTCAGTCAGCAAGTATCCTTACACTGCGTCAGTCAGTCATTGCTGTAAAATGGAGAATAAGCCAGTCAGTCAATCAGTTCCGTAATGCTCAGTCAAGCCGTCAGTGCCATGACATTGAGAGTCACTGTAGTGGTTATGAGCGGCAAGCAGAGAGGGGGAATGGTGTGGTGAGGAGGGGGAGTTGGTGCCTGCCTGCCCTGGCTGATGAATTACACCCTCTCCACTTTGCTTACATTAAAAGGTTTTCCCTTGAGAAGCGGTGTAGGAAGGTGGCCATGTTACTGATTGACTGACATTCTGCAGATCCTAGGCTGGCACACTTAGCTAGAGCATCCCTCTCTCTTTCCCCTTCATCTTCTTTATGACTCACTGTGGCCAGCCTGAGTCTTGGCTGGGGAGGATGTCTGGTCTTGCTGCTATCTCTGCTTTTAAAGAGAGTGGTTTTACTTGTTATTCTGTAGCAGAATTGAAGTGTTCCACTACGCTGTCGCTACAGCTCTCTCTCACTCACACTTTCGCTCACTAGCTCACTCACTCACTCACTCTCTCTCTCTCTCTCTCTTTCTTTTTTTCTTTCTTTCTTTCTTTCTTTCTTTCTTTCTTTCTTTCTTTCTTTCTTTCTTTCTTTCTTTCTTTCTTTCTTTCTTTCTTTCTTTCTTTCTTTCTTTCTTTCTTTCTTTCTTTCTTTCTTTCTTTCTTTCTTTCTTTCTCTCTCTCTCTCCCTTTGTTCTCATTATAAACCCTCCAGCCTCTCGTCTCCTCTCAGCAGTAATTTAGAGCAGTGAGGGGATTAGCCGTTGCCCGCGTATCCCTGTCTTATCAGACCCAGGCAGGCAGGGCCACCCAGGCGCCCACTCATGCTGCCTCCATTCCCACTGCCTGCCTCCACAACAGGCTGAGGCTGGGACACAAAGCCCTGCCGAGATCCACTGAGTGCCACCATTACGGCTACACAACTCAACACGACCTGCCCTCACGCCAAGTACCCGCTCTCACGCCAAGTACCCGCTCTCACGCCAAGTACCCGCTCTCTTTTCCTGTACACTACTTTCTGGTTTTACTTCCTCAGCAGGATTAAGAACATCCTCCCCTGTGGTGTCCCAGGTCCTCAGACGCTCAGGGGTGGGACAGTGGGACAGTGGGACAGTGGGACATTGGGGCTGTGTAGTGGAGATGATGATGTTGGCCTGTGATAATTGATCCCTCCTGTTAATACATTGGCCCTCTCTCCCTCCACGGCAAAGTGTTAGTGATGCTCTCACTGGCTGGGCTGATACCAGAGCTCATCCCTGGCTCCTATCTTAGCTCTGCAGACGTACAGCTCTCTTCTCGTCTGATACGTAGTACACACTATACTGCACTTAGCGCCCTCTGTGGAGGATAGTGCTACTATCTACATCAGACTCAAAGGTTGTTTGGAATTTGGTTTACTTAAAGCCTGCATGTATAATGCATCATGATTACACCTATAGGCATTTTACAGTTGAACAGAGATCCAGGCTCTAGCTAAAGCTAGGGGGATAAATATTGAGATGAGAGACAGTCAGGAAATGAGAAAGCCTGTCATGTTCCAGCTGCTCCCTTTGACGAGTGCATCTCTCTGTGTGCTCTGTCACGTGCCACGGTGCCAGTGTCTGGGCATGGGAAACACAACACACACTCAACTATTTCCTTTGATCTCCTCGTCATGCAGACAGAGCGGCTCTCCGCTTTATGGACTTTGTCCGCGGTCTGGAATGTGCCCGTGCATCCCAATGACCTTGTTCATAGACCAGGGGGTCTTGTTGATCGTGACGGTGGTGTGGACTGGGTGATGGTGATACTGCTGGCAGGGTGTGTCGTGCAGTGATCCTGACTAAGCTATGCCTCAGCAGGGTTCACGATGTGGACTTGGTGAGGGATTTAGATTTACATGATTGGGGTGGTGTCTGGGGGGATTAAATTGAGATGTTAATGCAAAGACCAACGGTGAAGCCATGTTGTTTCTCATTTGTACACTTTGGACTGTTACTTTACTTTAATATAGTTTTTACAATAACACATTTAAATGACCTTGTTCCATGTAGATAAGTTTTAATTAGATCAATTGATCCAGGGCAGGAGAGTGGTTGATTTCATTTATTAACCACCACATTAAACTCAGTCTTCTCTCCTGTCGCCCCTGTTTGTTTCTGGGTTCAGTTTTGGAGCTTATGTGGCAACGCCCTGACCCCTAAGCGAGGAGTTTTTGGCAAAACGGGAGATCTCCAAACTATCCTCTGCCTGGCCTGTGCCAGAGATGAGGTCACATATTCAGGTACCTTGAACGGTGACATCTACGTCTGGAAGGGCATCAACCTGATCCGGACAGTCCAAGGAGCCCATGGAGTAAGTGTGTGTGGTTGTTGTTTCTAACTTCTAATCAGCTTAATTCTGCCTCACTTCCTGGTGGTGTCTCTTGTTTATGTGTCACCCCTGTCAGTAGTGGGCTGTAGTTTGAGGAATGCTAAGCAGCAGACTCTTTTCAAATCAAAAGATGTCATGCTATGCAGCTCAGGCTTGCATTCCCCTACAGCCCCCACATGTCTGCCACAGGCCTGCTTTCACATTCAGACACAAAACTCACTCAATCACAATGCCTGCCTACCTACACCCACCTTAGTGCTATCGTTAGAGGATGATAAAACACATCATCATCCATGTCCAACTCACCCACCTACGACTGAACAACTCCTCCATCCATAGAGCTTGGTTTATTTCGCCTGATGCAAGCGTACAAGAGGACATGTTTAGCAGGGTGACGCCATGTCATGTAGCCCCTGTGGCTCTACTTCCACAGCAGGCGGCCCCCGGAGCGTGCCAATAAAAAAGGAAAAAAACAATGGTTCAAACGCTTTATGTAATGCACCGTTGTGTTATCTCTTCAGGCAGCAGCTAGTTTTTAATTGTGAAAGTCTTGTTAGACTATGTATCTGCTGCAGCAGGGCTGTTACTAGCTGCTGTACCGCTGGTCTGTCTTGTTCATTTATGGTGCACATCCCCACTGACAGACTGTCATTTCTTCCAGTCAGGGATTTTCAGCATGAATGCCTGTGAGGAGGGCTTTGCCACTGGGGGCCGGGACGGCTGCGTCCGACTATGGGATCTCAACTTCAAACCAATTACTGTCATCGATCTCAGGGAAACAGACCAGGGATATAAAGGTGACATACAACTCCCCCATCTACTCTTCTCTACCCCACACAGAGCCAGTCCACAGGATGCCAATGTGCACTGAGTCGTTAAATTAACCAGTGTGTTCTTCTCATGTTGTTTGATAGTACAGGCCTTTTGTATACCGGTAGACCCTTTTCTATTAAATCTACAGGAACTATTCTAGGGAATGATAGTTGTTTCATTTCTTCTTTCTTTCGTTTGATTTGTGGTCTTGGGCCTAACAGTAGCTAGAGGTGAAAATAGCAGAGGTGGTTAACTGTGAGCAGGGCCCTGTACAGTCAGAGAACTACCTCTGTCCTTATGTGCATGAAAGCTCATCTATTGTATTGTTCCATTCCCCTTATTGGTTATTCAGCCACTCTGTGTGTGGGTGTCTGTCTGCATTTTTTAAATCCATTAACTGTTTGTGCATGTGTGTGTTGACAGGGTTGTCAGTGCGCAGCGTGTGTTGGCGCGGAGATCACATCTTGGTGGGCACCCAGGACAGTGAGATCTTTGAGGTGGTGGTCCACGATCGCACCAAGCCCTTCCTCATCATGCAGGGTCACTGTGAGGGGGAGCTGTGGGCGCTGGCGGTGCACCCCACCAAGCCCCTGGCCATGACCGGCAGCGATGACCGTTCAGTCAGGTGGGTGACCAAGTACAACCACTGTCAAACCCTAGGATTAGTTTATGCTCATTATAACCACAGTATCCCACCCACAAATGCAGTTACTGAAATGATCTGGTGTGTCCAAAGCAATGTATACATACAGGTACACATATTCAGGTACTTATATGGTTCATGAAGGAATTGGACCCACATGACCACTTGCAAAGCTGTCTCTGTCTCTGTCTCTGTCTCTGTCTCTGTCTCTCCCTCTGTCTCTCCCTCTGTCTCTGTCTCTCCCTGTCTCTGTCTGTCTCTCCCTGTCTCTGTCTGTCTCTCCCTGTCTCTGTCTCTGTCTCTGTCTCTGTCTCTCCCTCTGTCTCTCCCTCTCCCTCTGTCTCTGTCTCTGTCTCTGTCTCTGTCTCTCTCTCCCTCTGTATCTCCCTCTGTCTCTGTCTCTGTCTCTGTTTCTCTCTCCCTCTCCCTCTCCCTCTCCCTCTGTCTCTGCCTCTCCCTCTCTGTCTCTGTCTCTGTCTCTATCTCTGTCTCTGTCTCTGTCTCTGTCTCTCCCTCTGTCTCTGTCTCTATTTCTCCCTCCGTCTCTGTCTCTCCCTCCATCTCTGTCTCTGTCCCTCCCTCTCCCTCTGTCTCTGTCTCTCCCTCCACCTGTCTCTGTCTCTGTCCTGTCTCTGTCTCTGTCTCTGTCTCTGTCTCTCCCTCCACCTGTCTCTGTCTCTGTCTCTCCCTCTGTCTCTCCCTCTGTCTCTCCCTCTGTCTCTCCCTCTGTCTCTCCCTCTCCCTCTGTCTCTGTCTCTGTCTCCCTCTGTCTCTGTCTCTGTCTCTACCCCTCTGTCTCTGTCTCTGTCTCTCCCTCTGTCTCTGTCTCTGTCTCTGTCTCTCCCTCTGTCTCTCCCTCTGTCTCTCCCTCTGTATCTCCCTCTCCCTCTGTATCTCCCTCTGTCTCTGTCTCTGTCTCTGTCTCTGTCTCTGTCTCTGTCTCTCCTCTGTCTCGTCTCTGTCTCTGTCTCTGTCTCTCCCTCTGTCTCTCCCTCTGTCTCTCCCTCTGTATCTCCTCTCTCCTCTGTCTCTCCTCTCGTCTCTCCCTCTGCTCTTCTCTCTCTGTCTCTCCTCTCTGTCTCCCCTCTGTTCTCTGTCTCTCCCTCTGTCTCTCCCTCTGTTCTCTCCCTCTGTCTCTCCCTCTGTCTCTCCTCTGTCTCTGTCCCTCCCTCTGTCTCCTTGTCTCCCTCTCCCTCTGTCTCTGTCTCTTCCTCTCTGTCTCTCGCCTCTGTCCCTCCCTCTTCTGTCCTCTCCTGTCTCTCCCTCCTGTCTCTGTCTCTTCTCTCTCTCTGTCTCCTCTGTCTCTGTCTCTGTCCCTCCCTCTGTTCTCTCCTCTGTCCTCTCCCTCTGTTCTCTGTCTCTCCCTCTTGTCTCTGTCCTCTGTCTCCTCTGTCTCTGTCTCTGTCTCTGTCTCTCTCTCTGTTCTCTCTCTCTCTCGTCTCTGTTGTTGTCTCTCTCCTCTGTCTCTCCTCTCTCCCTCCTGCTCTCCTCTGTTCTCTCTTCTCTGTCTCTGTCTCTGTTCTTGTCTCTCTCTCCTCTGTCTCGTCCTTGTCTCTCCTCGTCTCTGTCTCCTGTCTCTCTGTCTCTTCTCTGTCTCTCCTTTCTCTGTCTCTTGTCTCTCCCTCTGTCTCTGTCTCTATCTCCTCCTCGTTCTGTCTCTGTCTCTGTCTCTCCCTCGTCTGTTCTGTTTCTGTCTCTCCTCTCCTCCTGTCTCTGTCCTCTGTCCCTCCCTTCTCCGTCTGTCCTCTGTCTCTCCCTCCTCTGTCTCTGTCTCTTCCCTCTGTCTCTTCTCCTGTCTCTCCTCTGTCTCTCCTCGTCCTCTCTGTCTCCTCTGTCTCTGTCTCCTCTTCTCCCTTCTTCGTCTCTTCTCCCTCTGTCTCTCTCGTTCTCTTCTCTGTCTCCCTCTGTCCTCTGTCTCTGTCTTCTCTGTCTCTGTCTCTGTCTTCTTCTCTGTCTCTCCTCTGTCTCTCCCTCTGTCTCTCCCTCTGTCTCTCCCTCTGTCTCTCCCTCTGTATCTCCCTCTCCCTCTGTCTCTCCCTCTGTATCTCCCTCTGTCTCTGTCTCTGTCTCTGTCTCTGTCTCTCCCTCTGTCTCTGTCTCTGTCTCTGTCTCTCCCTCGTCTCTCCCTCTGTCTCTCCCTCTGTCTCTCCCTCTGTCTCTGTCTCTGTCCCTCCCTCTGTCTCTGTCCCTCCCTCTGTCTCTGTCTCTCCCTCTGTCTCTCCCTCTGTCCCTCCCTCTGTCCCTCCCTCTCCCTCTGTCTCTGTCTCTCCCTCTGTCTCTGTCTCTGTCTCTGTCTCTGTCTCTGTCTCTCCCTCTGTCTCTGTCTCTGTCTCTGTCTCTGTCTCTGTCTCTGTCTCTGTCTCTGTCTCTCCCTCTGTCTCTCCCTCTGTCTCTCCCTCTGTCTCTGTCCCTCCCTCTCCCTCTCCCTCTGTCCCTCCCTCTCCCTCTGTCTCTGTCTCTCCCTCTGTCCTCTGTCTCTGTCTCTGTCTCTGTCTCTGTCTCTCCCTCTGTCTCTCCCTCTGTCTCTCCCTCTGTCTCTCCCTCTGTCTCTCCCTCTGTCTTCCTCCCTCTGTCTCTGTCCTCCCTCTCCCTCTGTCCTCCTCTGTCTCTGTCTCTGTCTCTGTCTCTGTCTCTGTCTCTGTCCGTTCTGTCTCTCCTCTCTGTCTCTCCCTCTGTCTCTCCTCGTCTCTGTCCCTCCTTCTCTCCTCTGTCTCTTCTTGTCCGTCTTCCTCTGTCCGTCTGCTCTTCTGTCTCTGTCTTCCTCTGTCTATCCTCTGTTCCCTCTGCTCTGTCCCTCCTCTCGTCTCTGTCTCCTTGTCTTCTTGCTTCTGTTGTCTCTGTTTCTTTTTTCTTGTCTCTCGTTTGTCTTCTTTTCGCTGTCTTTTTCCCTTTTCCTCGTATTTCTGTCCTTGTCTTGCTTGCCTTCTTGCTCCTCTCCTACTGCCTGTCCCTGTCTGTCTGTCTGCGCTGTTCGCCCAGTCCTCCTTGCCCTTGCTCTCCCTGTCTCGTCCACCACTGTTCTGTCCTCCTTGTACTAGTTCTCCGTTGTTTGCATTCCGTTCCTCTATCTCTCACTCTGTTATTGTGTTTTTGTCTGTAGAATATGGAGCCTTATAGATCATGCACTGATAGCTCGCTGTAATATGGAGGAGCCTATCCGCTGTGCAGCTGTGAGCACGGACGGCATTCATCTGGCGCTGGGCATGAAGGACGGCTCCTTCACCGTCCTACGGGTCAGGTGAGTACAGGGCAGAGATCAAAGCGCACATCTGATTCTTTCTGATTAGCTTGGTATGAACTTCATGTTAACTTCCTTTTTTTTGCAATTTCATTACTCATGAACAATATGACAAGTTAGTGGATGCATGGATACTCAATTTGATTAGAGGATGGTTGTTTTTTTATTGAAAGAATATAGTGAATGACCTTTCCAGTAACGTCCTCCCTCTCAACAGAGATATGACAGAGGTGGTCCACATCAAAGACAGGAAGGAGGCCATCCATGAGCTGAAGTACTCTCCTGACGGAGCTCACCTGGCCGTGGGATCCAATGATAACTCTGTAGACATCTACGGCGTGGTGCAGAGGTACAAGAAGGTGGGAGAGTGCATTGGCTCCACTAGCTTCATCACACACATGGACTGGTCCACAGACAGCAAGTATCTGCAGACCAATGACGGCAACGGAAAGAGGCTCTTCTACAGGATGCCAAGTAAGTCTGACGATTAGACGTCTCGGCATGCAGATAAATGACACTGTGAAGAGCCTTATTCTCTATGGGAAGGAAAGTGCACCGGCTAAGACAGGATATCTCTTGTGTCATTTCTACACTGTTATTAATTATATTTAACTGCTATATGTGTCATGTATGACTTGTTGTAACTATAGTGACATATGGCTAGGGCTGTGACGATTGTGTAATTTTGGGTAACGATTAATTGTCATGCAAATGGCCACGGTTATTGTCATAACTGTCATTTTTGTTTAATTTATTTTGAACTTGTAAAGCATCATAATGCATCTTTGAAAATTAGCTACGACATATAACGCAGCCTTGGTGACACCCCTGGCTCAAAAACAAATGGTTTTGACTGCTTGGAACTTTTGGAAATGAAGCTTCTCCTCTCGACTGTGCCGTCCTGCTTGTAAAATGATGACCAACTTTACCCACCATGTAAAAATGTTAAACTGCAATTGAGTAAACTACTGTATATCTACTTAAAAATAAAGTTGAATCCCCTCCCCCTCCTAAAATGAATGTGTTAAGACGATTATGACGATCATTCTTTTTAGTTTGGTTATTATAGGATAATTGTGCCAGCCCTACATATGGCCATGACACAACATTGTCATGATGACTAATGTGCTGCTAATTTGATGTTTTAGTTGCACATGATAGAGTTATTATTGTCTTTCTACTCAGGCGGTAAAGAGATCACCAACAGGGAAGAGCTGAAGCTGGTGCAGTGGTCCTCGTGGACGTGTGTGTTGGGCCCAGAGGTCAACGGAATATGGCCCAAATACTCAGAGATCAATGACATCAACTCTGTTGACGCCAACTTTAATAATCAAGTTTTAGTAACAGCAGATGATTATGGATTAGTGAAGCTTTTACGGTACCCGTGTGTAAGAAAAGGTAAGGATTTCCATTGGTTTCTCTATTCATTGATGTGATGTTGTCAGTTCATGCATTCACAAATTAACCTAAAACTACTCTTCTCTCTATCCCAGGTGCAAAGTTTAAAAAGTATTTAGGTCACTCTGCCCATATAACCAATGCCAGGTGGTCACATGACTACCAGTGGGTGATAACCATTGGTGGAGCTGACCACTCAGTGTTCCAGTGGAAGTTTGTCACTGACAGAAAGTCGAAAGAAGCTCTTCACATAGCACCTCAAGGTACATCACTGTCCCATTTCTATTACTGCCCCATTCTATTCTATAACATCACCCCTGCTAAATGTGAATATGACTCCGAAGTGCAGAGAAGTCTAGTAGACTCTGTGACCCTTCCCCTTGAATGGTGTTCCTTATCCCAGTTAAAAGCTTTCTACATCAGGTCATAGATCCACAAGATCACATTTGAAGTGACACTAGCTGGAAGAGCACTTTCTTGTTTGTGTACAGCTCCTACGACCTTGACCTCATTTGTAAGTAATGTTTCTCAACTAAATGGTCTCAGACAGAGCTGTGCTGCGCTTTGTGAAATGAAACAACATACTAACTGCCATTCCATTTAATTTTCCTAATGGACCAGCAAGTAGCAGCCTAGCAGTGCCAGGGCTACTCACTGCCTGGTCTTGGCACGGCCAACCGAGTTTCTCTGCATCAGCATTTTTATGTCTCAGTCTGAGTAATAGGGCTGCTCAACGGGGCAAGCAGTCCACCACTTAAGTCTTTTTAAAGGCTTGCTTGATGAATATGAGATGTCATCTTTACCCAGCAAACTATTGTTCTGTGATCCACTTTGGTGTTGGCTAAAATGGGACTCAATACTGGTTGTCTGCTAGTTATGGATTAGTGTGTTTTTAACTCTATTCAACAGACTGATGTGGGAGCAGCTGGGTGGTAGAATAGATCTGATGTGGGAGCAGCTGGGTGGTAGAATAGATCTGATGTGGGAGCAGCTGGGTGGTAGAATAGATCTGATGTGGGAGCAGCTGGGTGGTAGAATAGATCTGATGTGGGAGCAGCTGGGTGGTAGAATAGATCTGATGTAGTCGTCTTCTTCTCTCCCACAGAGACGTTGGGCGACTCCAACAGTGAGGAGTCGGACTCGGACCAGTCGGACGTGCCTGAGATGGACTCAGAGATCGAGCAGGAGACACAGCTCACGTATCGGCGGCAGGTTAGTGACACAAAGACTCCCGAGTGGCGCAGTGGTCTAAGGCACTGTGTCGCAGTGCTTGAGGCGTCACTACAGACCTGGGTTCAATCCCAGGCTGTGTCACAGCCGACCGTGACCGGGAGACCCATGAGGCGGCGCACCATTGGCCCAGCGTCGTCCGGGTTAAGGGAGGGTTTGGCCGGCCAGGATTCCTTGTCCCATCGCGCTCTAGCGACTCCTTGTGGCGGGCCGGGCTCCTGCAAGCTGACTCCGGTCGCCAGCTGGACGGTGTTTCCTCCGACACATTGGTGCGGCTGGCTTCCGGGTTAAGTGAGCAGTGTGTCAAGAAGCAGTGCAGCTTGGCAGGGTCGTGTTTCGGAGTACGCATGGCTCTCGACCTTCGCCTCTCCCGAGTCCGTAGAGGAGTTGCAGCGATGGGACAAGACTGTAACTACCAATTGGGGAGAAAAAGGGGTAAAATTACAAATAAATATATATATTTTTTAAAGGTTAGTGACACAACACCTGCTCTCCTCTCAGATGGCTTTGCCTTTGAAAAGGACACATTATGAAAAACAACTGATATTACATTGAATAAAAACCTTAACAGATTCTTTATATTGTATTTCCATGTCCAGGTTTACAAAGAAGATCTACCTCAGCTCAAAGAGCAGTCCAAGGAGAAGCACTGTGTGATGGCCATGAAGAAGAGGGAGAGAGCACCAGGGAGCGGGTTGAAGCTACACTTCATCCATGGGTTAGGAGACCTCCGGCAGCACCACATACCATTAAACGTCACACAAACAATAGATAGATTCTGAATGATATTAATTAATCATTATTATTTATATTAATAATTGTTCCCTGTGTTGTTCTGCTCCAGCTACAGAGGCTACGACTGCAGGAGCAACCTGTTCTACACCCAGACAGGGGAGATAGTCTACCACGTGGCGGCCGTGGGGGTGGTGTACAACCGACAGCAGAACACCCAGCGCTTCTACATGGGCCATGACGACGACATCCTGTGCCTGGCCATCCACCCCCTCAAGGACTATGTAGCAACAGGCCAAGTAGGTAGCACTGCTAACAATGAAATATTCAGAGACAGGGATAGAGTAGCTACCCCCCTCAGGGCCTAAGGGTAGAGAGGCTGACCTCTGAGGATACCTTTGAGAGCTGGAGGCTCATATGCTTATGGTGCAAAGTAACCAAAGATGATTTCTTACTGCCAAGACTGTGCTTAAACTATTGCATTGCCATGAGTGGGTGTGGAAGTTGCTGTGGATGAGTGGAAGCATTATATGGAAGCTAATTGTTTCTTCTGTCTGTCCAGGTGGGGCGAGACTCTTCCATCCACATATGGGACACAGAGATTCTGAAACCCATGTCTGTGTTGAAAGGATTCCACCAGCTGGGTGTGTGTGCCTTGGACTTCTCAGGTAATACCCCAGGGCTGTTTACAGATGCTTTCCATACACTCTCCAGATAATGTAACACATTGAACACAACAACGACCAATTTTTGCTTTAATCTAACCTGACATTCTCAGTCAGCCATGAAGAAAAATAACTCTTCCTTCACACAGGAGGTGCGAGTTGAAATCTGTGACAATTTAAGAGCATTGCTCTGAACAACCACGTTACAGAAATAGTCTGTGTACTCTGGCAGGCTGGCACATCAAGGAAAAGGCTCTCATCTCTCTCCCACTAATTGGCCACAGACAGAGGCATAGCTGCCATTACATACCATGGATCAAACCAGGGAGCAGGGTAGTTTACTATTTGCTCACAAAACAACAGTAAATAGGGAGGCTCTCTGTGAATTTTGTATTGAATGAAGTTGTGTTTTGTTGTTCTTCCTCAGCGGATGGCAAGCGGTTGGCCTCGGTGGGGCTGGATGACAATCACACCATTGTCCTTTGGGACTGGAGGAAGGGGGAGAAGCTCTCAGCCATCAGGTTGGTACTGTACAGTAGCTGTTATGGCATCTCAGATGAGCCATTCAGATCTCAGCAGCTGTCTCCTTGATAGGCAGAGAGAGGTCAAAGGTCAAGATAAGTCCTAGGGGTTGACGTGCTTTAGGAACACTGCACTCTTACTGATGAAAAACAAGAACAGATAATGTTTTCTGTTTTCTCTGTGAGTTAGCTCATGTTATATACACTACCAGTCAAAAGTTTGGACACACCTACTCATTCAAGGGTTTTTCTTTATTTTTACTATTTCCTACATTGTAGAATAATAGTGAAGACATCAAAACTATGAAATAACACATATGGAATCATGTAGTAACCAAAGAAGTGTTAAACAAATCCAAATATATTTCATATTGTAATGAATACTCAGGGAGAAAAAGGTGTAGATTCACGCGCAGAGCGCGGCAGTTGTTTATTTTGCCTTCGCAGAAGGCAGGAATTGTGGTCACAGGCAGGAAATGGTCATACACAGGTAGGCAAACAGGCAGGTGAATCAAACCTAGGGCTGAAGGCGATAACTGATTCTCACAAACGAGCTAGGAAAAGGCTTAGTAGAGTCAAAACGAACAATACCTCACAAGGCACAAACAGAATGAACTGAACTAAATAAGGAGCTGATGAGACCAGGTGAGTAACTAACACAGGTGAAATCCATGAACAAAAATGAAAGACAGGGCTACGTTCAAGAACACAAAGAAACAGGGCTACGTTCAAGAACACAAAGAAACAGGGCTACGTTCAAGTACACAAAGAAACAGAGCTACGTACAAGAACACAAGGTTAACTAAGAAAATAAATACCGAACCTTACACATATTTGAGATTCTTCAAATGATAGCTTTGCACACTCTTGGCATTCTCTCAACCAGCTTCACCTGGAATGCTTATCCAACAGTCTTGAAAGAGTTCCCACATATGCTGAGCACTTGTTGGCTGCTTTTCCTTCACTCTGCTGTCCGACTCATCCCAAACCATCTCAATTGGGTTGAGGTCGGGGGATTGTGGAGGCCAGGTCATCTGATGCAGCACTCCATCACTCTCCTTCTTGGTCAAATAGCCCTTACACAGCCTGGAGGTGTGTTGGGTCATTGTCCTGTTGAAAAACAAATGATAGTCCCACTAAGCCCAAACCAGATGGGATGGCATATCGCTGCAGAATGCTGTGGTAGCCATGCTGGTTAAGTGTGCCTTGAATTCTAAATAAATCACAGACAGTGTCACCAGCAAAGCACCCCCACACCATAACACCTCCTCCTCCATGCTTTACGGTTGGAACTACACATGCAAATCTCCAATTTGGACTCCATACCAAAGGACACATTTCCACCAGTCTAATGTCCATTGCTCATGTTTCTTGGCCCAAGCAGGTCTCTTCTTATTATTAGTGTCCTTTAGTAGTGGTTTCTTTATAGCAATTCGACCATGAAGGCCTGATTCACACAGTCCCCTCTGAACAGTTGATGTTGAGATGTGTCTGTGACAAACTCTGTGAAGTATTTATTTGGGCTGCAATTTCGGAGGCTGGTAACTCTAATGAACTTATCCTCTGCAGCAGAGGTAACTCTGGGTCTTCCATTCCTGTGGCGGTCCTCATGAGAGCCAGTTTCATCATAGCGCTTGATGGTTTTTGCGACTGCACTTGAAGAAACGTTCAACGTTCTTGAAATGTTCCAGATTGACTGACCTTCATGTCTTAAAGTAATGATGGACTGTCTTTTGTCTTTGCTTATTTGAAATATGGACTTGGTCTTTTACCAAATAGGGCTATCTTCTGTATACCCCCCTACCTTGTCACAACACAACAGATTGTCTCAAACGCATTAAGAAAGAAAGAAATTCCACAAATTAACTTTCAAAAAGGCACACCTGTTAATTGAAATGCATTCCAGGTGACTACCTCATGAAGCTGGTTGAGAGAATGCCAAGAGTGTGCAAAGCTGTCATCAAGGCAAAGGGTGGCTATTTGAAGTATCTCAAATATAAAATATATTTTGATTTGTTTAACACTTTCTTGGTTACTACATGATTCCATATGTGTTATTTCATAGTTTTGATGTCTTCACTATTATTCTACAATGTAGAAAATAGTCAAATTATAGAAAAATCCTAGAATGAGTAGGTGTGTCCAAACTTTTGACTGGTACTGTATATTGACCTCATAATACTAGTTTTGGTGCAGATTTAGTTTGGTAGTATTCATGTAAATGTGAGGTCTTTGTCGACAGGCTATAACCTGGTCAGTAGTCCCTGCAGGATAAATTAGTCATCCAGCCCCACTGATTCACAGATACGTGTCCAGTCATGCAATGTCCAGCATCGCAACCATCCCTTAGCCATTGTACAGTACAGGCTCCAGAGCCGAGAGAATAACAACAAGTCCATCAATGCTCTCGATCTAAACCTTCCCTTTAATTCTCTAGACAGCTTGAGCACCTCCACTTTAAATGTGGACATTTATATATGAGGGCCCCATTTAAAAAGCTGCACTGTCCTGGGTTCACAGATTGATTGATGAAGAGAGGAGGGAGGGGAATCACCCTGCAGACTCTTAAAGCTGTTCCTTTCGAAATAGAGAACACTTGGTCCTGCCAACTCACAGCTGAATGATTAAAGTGTAGGTCTGGTGCAGATCTCTGGCCCATCCATCTTAACCTGGGTTCAGACTGCATTCACTGTGGGGGCTAATCTCAAATTGAAAGTGGCCGTTTAAAAAAATTTAATTATGTAAAATCGAAATGGAAATTCAGACTAGCAAATATCCAATATCCAGGACTGTAAACATAGTCATCTAGCATCTACACTACCGGTCAAAAGTTTTAGAACACCTACTCATTCAAGGGTTTTTCTTTATTTTTACTATTTTCTACATTGTAGAATAATAGTGAAGACATCAAAACTATGAAATAACACATATGGAATCATGTAGTAACCAAAAAAGTGTTAAACAAATCAAAATATATTTTATATTTACGATTCTTCAAATAGCCACCCTTTGTCTTGATAATAGCTTTGCACACTCTTGGCATTCTCTCAACCAGCTTCATGAGGTAGTCACCTGGAATGCATTTCAATTAACAGGTGTGCCTTCTTCAAAGTTAATTTGTGGAATTTCTTTCCTTCTTAATGCGTTTGAGCCAATCAGTTGTGTTGTGACAAGGTAGGGGGGGGTATACAGAAGATAGCCCTATTTGGTAAAAGACCAGGTCCATATTATGGCAAGAACAACTCAAATAAGCAAAGAAAAACGACAGTCCATCATTACTTTAAGACATGAAGGTCAGTCAATATGGAATATTTCAAGACCTTTGAACGTTTCTTCAAGTGCAGTCGCAAAAACAATCAAGCGCTATGATGAAACTGGTTCTCATGAGGACCGCCACAGGAATGGAAGAACCAGATTTAGTTAATTAGAGTTACAGCCTCAGAAATTGCAGCCCAAATAACTGCTTCACAGAGTTCAAGTAACAGATACATCTCAACATCAACTGTTCAGAGGAGACTGTGTGAATCAGGCCGTCATGGTCGAATTGCTGCAAAGAAAACACTACTAAAGGACACGAATAAGAAGAAGGGACTTGCTTGGGCCAAGAAACACAAGCAATGGACATTAGACCAGTGGAAATCTGTCCTTTGGTCTGATGAGTCCAAATTTGAGATTTTTGGTTCCAACCGCTGTGCCTTTGTGAGACGCGGTGTGGGTGAACGGATGATCTCCGCATGTGTATTTCCCACCGTAAAACATGGAGGAGGAGGTGTTATGGTGTGGGGGTGCTTTGCTGGTGACACTGTCTGTGATTTATTTAGAATTCAAGGCACACTTAACCAGCATGGCTACCACAGCATTCTGCAGCGATACGCCATCCCATCTGGTTTGGGTTTAGCGGGACTATAATTTGTTTTTGATTTGTTTAACACTTTTTTGGTTACTACATGATTACATATGTGTCATTTCATCATTTTGATGTCTTCACTATTATTCTACAATGTAGAAAATAGTAAAAATAAAGAAAAACCCTTGAATGAGTAGGTGTTCTAAAACTTTGACCGGTAGTGTATATGGACACCCCCATTTCTCCCAGTCTTTGCTGGTCTTGTTCCTCAATGGTTTTGCACTTGATATTCATAGTGGTAATATAGGCCATTGGAATTCCATCAGGCTAGTTAGAGCAGTAGAGGACTGCTCCTCTTCCTGCCTGCGTGCTGTAGCTGTTGTGTACTGTGCTTCCGTGGCAGCTCAGAGACAGCTTGGAGCTGCACTAATCTCCTTTGCAGGCCCTGGTGGATAGTGCAGTGAGGCGGGCAGAGGGAAATGGGGCCTGACAGAGCCTGCCTTGTGCACTGCCTAGTCCTCAGCTGGGACAGGAGTATGGTGAGGGGGAGAGATAGAGTAGAGGGAGAGGGGGCAGGAGAGAAAGAGGGAGAGAGGTGGGGGAGGATGAGCGATGAGAAGGGGAGGAAAAAGAGATAGGGTGAGGAAGAGAGAGGGATGGAAGTGAGAGAAAGTGAGTGAGAGCTTGAAAGGGATCGAGAGATGAAGTAGGTGTCAGTACAGCTCTGGCCTCAGTGAGTGCAATGCAGTGATGCAGCAGCACAAAGGCCAGTGATTAGGGAGCCATCCCAGAGTGTGCACTACGCTCCATTGGATTAGACAGGAAAGGACACTGATCCTTATTGTTCATATGTGAAGTGATCAAGAGCCCTTAGGGAGGGAGGTAGTCTAACTATGCAGATGCACTGGGTGTGATCTTATTCCCCGTATACTAACTGTCTTCTAAGTTTATTCCTTTTCTATTTCAGATCCATTGTATTTTTGTACAATGGAATTAATGCAAGTTTGTCATAATTTTTCAGGGGAAGCAAGGATAAGATTTTTGTCATCAAAATGAATCCATACTGTCCTGACAAGCTTGTCACAGCAGGGATAAAGCATATGAAGTTCTGGCATAAAGCAGGTAAGAGACCCCAAAGTCAGACAAGAGAGTTGACTCAGCAGTGTCTCAAGGAATGGTGTGATGTGTTGTCATGCGAGTTAATGACACAACCTCTCTTTCAGGTGGTGGTCTGATTGGGCGTAAGGGCAACATGGGGAAGACCGAGACGATGATGTGTGCTGTGTATGGCTGGACAGAGGAGATGGTGTTCTCAGGGACGTGCACAGGAGACATCTGTATATGGAGAGACATGTTCCTGGTGAAGACAGTCAAAGCCCATGATGGCCCAGTTTTCAGTATGCACGCCCTGGAGAAGGTACTGGAAGGGAAGGGGTTAACACACTGGCCATTTGAAATGTGAAATAGAGACGCTCTCTCTGTCTCTGTGTCCATCTCTTTCTTCCTCTCTCGCTCTCTCTGTTTCTCTCTTTGTTTGTGCCATTATGGTGTAATATTGTCAATTAATAGAGTACTAGGATTGTATTATTTCAGATGTCAGTTTTATACAATGATGCTATGTGAGTGATTAAAGAAGAGAGGTTCTAATCTATCTCCTGTTGTCTCGTAATGTCCCACTCTGGAGGGATTTGTGACCGGAGGGAAGGACGGCATAGTGGCTCTGTGGGACAACACCTTTGAGAGATGCCTCAAGACGTACGCCATCAAGAGAGCAGTCCTTGCTCCAGGCTCCAAAGGTAAAAAGGTCACCTTTCTCTCATACCGCCACCGTGGAGCCAATCACATTACATACTGGGCTCATAGCTCCAACGCCAATGGAATCAGTCAGTGGAAATCCATTTAAACACTCAATCCATTTAGCTTTAATGAAGATTGCTTCCTCTGCCCCTGGTTAAAGTGAAGGTCTTTGACGTTATCCTATAATTCACTGTATAGGGTTGCTGTTGGAGGACAACCCTTCCATACGTGCCATATCTCTTGGTCATGGTCATATACTGGTGGGGACAAAGAATGGCGAGATTCTGGAGGTGGATAAGAGTGGACCTATCACCTTGCTGGTCCAGGTGAGTGGTTACATTGAGTTACATACAGTGTCATTATAAAGTCAACTGTCTGTCACAAATGTCACAATGACCAGCACACATGACATGCGCCAGCTGTGACTCCGGCAAGCAGGGATGTGGCAGCCAGGTTTTTGCAGCTTGGTTATGTGGGAGCCAATGAGGTGTCAGTAATGAAGGGGTCAGCTGGGGGCACATTATTTTGTGGTTTAAGGCCTGCAATTGTACTAACAGACTGGCAGTGAGGGGAACTGTCCCGTCACTTTGGAAACTATTGTAAAACTACGTTATACTGTACAGTACCTGGAATAATGTTGCAGAAAAATTTAGGCAGCTGTTTATAAGACTGATAAATGAGCACTGCAGACTTTTTTTGTAAATTCATTTTGCAAAGAGAAGTGCTTCTACTATCTCCACAGGCCTCCTTTGACCCATAGGAAACCCAGAGCTAATGTTACCCATTTCCTTGTTAAATGCTCTAGAGCAAATGAGCAATTTCTTATGGGTGAAGCCGAGCAACAGAAGCTATGACTCCTTGGCTCCACCATTGATTTTCATTATGCACTTAATAATTCTAACAACAAATCTGTGGATGTGTGCTTGCCAAATACAAGGCTGTGCTAGACATGTATTTATTTAACTAAGTATATGAAATATTTTATGTAGGGGTCAGAAGATGGTTCCTTACCCATCTCTCTCTTACCTTAATTAGGTTGAATTGAGCTGCACTGAATTGAATGGTATTGTCTATTTGATGGGTCCACAGGGTCACATGGAGGGTGAGGTGTGGGGCCTGGCCACTCATCCCTTTCTCCCTCTCTGTGCCACTGTCAGCGATGACAAAACCCTGCGCATATGGGACCTGTCCCCCAGCCACTGTATGCTGGCTGTACGCAAGCTCAAGAAAGGTGAGTCACTCAACCCTCAAAATAGAGAAGTCTATGCTACATTCATTCACCTCCTTCCTTTCTTTCTGTGGTGCGTTCGTACAGTCATTAGGTGCATTGGTACTAACTGACCTCCTCCATAGGCGGGCGCTGCTGCTGCTTCTCCCCTGAGGGCAAGGCCCTGGCGGTAGGCCTGAATGACGGCAGCTTCCTCATCGTCAATGCAGACACCCTGGAGGACCTAGTGTCCTTCCACCACCGCAAGGACATCATCTCAGACATACGCTTCTCACCAGGTCAGACGCTCTCCTCCCTCCATCTCTCCCTCCCTACAAACCCCCTCCAGCTGAGACGTGGCCAGGTATTCTTATTTTCCCCCTGCTGTGAGGAGAAGAGGTATTGCTCCAGGCTTGACCCAAATACACCACTGTAAGTTACAAGGCAGGCAGGGAGAGACAAAGTCTGTCTGAGTGGGAAGAGAGTAGTGGGGGAGGATAAAGTGAGAGCTAGAAACTAAACTCTATCCAGTTTCCCAACACATCACCGATAGTGCTTCTAACTGCCTCCCTATACTATATACTGTAGATGTCTGCACTCCTAAATACTCTTCAATGGGTTTGCAGATAGTTGTTTTTTTGTTATAAAGAATTGTGACTACCTACTGTAGATATGGAGTACTGTGTTGTTATCTTGGCTGCTGATCAGAAGGTCTGTCAGTCCTGTGAAACAGATGAGGAAACCCTTTTGAAACATGGCTGTTGTGTTTATTCAGGTGCAGGGAAGTACCTGGCGGTGGCGTCAGGTGACAGCTTTGTGGACATCTATAATGTGATGAGCAGCAAGAGGGTGGGGGTGTGCAAGGGGTCCCAAATCTACATCACCCATCTGGACTGGGACAAGAGAGGTAAACATGTTGGTTTAACAACTACACTGATTGTGGCAGTGACCTTTGCAACTGACAGTGGACTTGGACTAATGCCATTGTATTTCAGGCTATTCCCACTGTTGGCTCATTTACAATGTGATGAAATCCATTTTAAACCCCTGGGTAAAGGAATAGTTATTTTGTGTTATTCCAAGTATAAAACTGAATGATAATGCTACTATAAAGCACAAAAGTGTTTAATTTGTAATCTGATAAAATTTTAACTGTGTTCTCTCATTCACAGGAAAACTACTGCAAGTGAACACTGGTGCTAAAGAGCAGTTATTTTTTGAAGCTCCACGTGGGAAAAAGCAGACCATTCCTGCTACCGAGGTAAGCACAGCACAGACACTTCTGCCATGGCCCAGGGCGTTGTGGTGGCTATAGCGGGGCTGGCCTACTTTTTCCCCCCGGGATGTCACAGGACGGCATGGGAAGGGCATTCAAGCATTAACACGGCCCACTTTTCTCCAGCATCTTTCTAATTCTGGCAATTGAAATGGGATAGTGTTTTTAGGGCCTTATACTGTGTGAGATTCAGACACCTTGTGAGACACAGAGAGTGGAGGGCACTAAGGAGATAGGGGTTAGAGATGATAGATGCTGTCAGGCTGGTGCCGTGTCAAATCTCATAGGAACCACTAGTCCTCCTCTCCTCCCTCCTTCCCTCCTCCCACTTCTCCTCTCTCCCTTCCCCTCTCCTCTCTCCTCCTCCTCTCCTTCAGGTGGAGAAGATAGACTGGAGCACATGGACCTGTGTGCTCGGGACGTCCTGTGAGGGGATCTGGCCTGTGGTCCGTGAGGTTACCGAGGTGACCGCTGCTTGCCTTAGCAACGACAGAAAGGTGCTAGCAACGGGGGATGATCTGGGATACGTCAAGCTATTCAGGTATCCTGTCAAGGTAAGACACTGATATTCATATTTTATTATAATATAATAAATATTATATATTAATGTCCTCTTGCCCTTACTGGAAAGTAAACCCTACCTCTTCAAAGAGTATCTTAAATAATCCCACAGAACCCCAGCCCCCCCACCCCACCCATCTAAAAAAGTATTTACAAAAAAATAGTTTGCCTTTGGTGAACTAACACTCCCTCTTGAATGTTTCCTACTAGCACTGACTTTGTTGATAGTTACTTTATTGAGGAAAAATGTACTTACTATGACTGAGATATTGTATGTGGTTGTCCCACCTAGCTGTTTTAAGATGTTTGCACTAACTGTAGTTTATTCTGGATAAGAGCGTCTGCTAAATGACTAAAATGTTTAAAAAATGAAACATTTACACTAATGTTATGTTAATTCTATGCTAATGTTAAAACAATGTTGTTTTAAGTTAATGCTACTTCTGCCCACAGGGAAAGTATGCAAAGTTCAAGCGCTATGTGGCCCATAGCACCCATGTGACTAACGTGCGTTGGACGCATGACAACGGTCTCCTGGTGACGGTCGGCGGGGGTGACACGTGCCTCATGATCTGGACCCACGAGGCAGAGGGGCACCGGGAGGCCAGACATTGTGACAGCGAAGAGTCGGACATCGAGAGCGAGGATGATGGGGGTGAGAAATATACCCCAAACCAAACCTGGGGCTTCAGTCTGAAGTCAACATAGAGTCATTTTCTACTGATATAGATAGCCTCCCTCTAATATGTAATTCTATGGAGCCTCCCATAGATGGTAAAAAGGCTGTGTTCTGATCTAGTATCTTGACATTTTCTGTCATTGGCCAGGTTATGATAGTGATGTGACGAGGGAGAATGAGATCAACTACACCATCAAGGCCTTATCCACCAACGTGCGACCCATGACTGGGGTCAAACCCCACCTGCAGCTGAAGGAGCCGTCTGTGGACGAGAGGTAACAAACCACAGCACTGTGGAGAGATACCCAAGGGTTCAAATCTCTTTTTCTTTTCTTTTTCTTTTGAACTTTCTTTATTGGACACATGATGGACACATCTTGAACAGTCAAAATACTTTGAGCCAATCAGTTTAAACTGAAACGAGGTGTAGTGAAAGCACAGCCAACTGGACACTCATAATGAATGTGTCAAAGTGAGACCAAACGGTCCACCAATCCAATTTGTGTAAATTCAAATTTCCTCAATCACGTTTATTTTTTGCCTTTACGTGCATTCATACTGCCCCTTTGAGGATAACCTCACCTCTCTCTTCTCTCTTCAATGTCTGTCCATCTGTCTCTGTCTGTCCTGCTCTCCTCTTTGATTCTACTTGAAGGCAGGGGGTAGTCAGGTAAGAGACTTTACACAAGACATCACCATTACTTTAGGGAAAAGTACCTGTTGCTAGGCATAATATGCTATAAACCCTGAGTTACAGTATCTTATCTCAATATCAGATATCTCAAATCTCAATTGATAAAGGATGTTAATATATGGTATTTCACAGAAACTATTGTCCAAATAAGCCGTACATAAGGTCTTTATCTGGGATTTGGAAATGTTTTTGGTTTCAGGCTATAATAAAAATAATGTCTGCTTCAGTCTATGGTTTGACAACCCATGCAGCATCTGTGGGTGCCGGTTAGTGGTTGTCATAGAGATGCTGAAGGTGCTGGTTGGTATGGATACTCCGTGGCGCTGAATATGGTGTATTTTATGTCCTCAGTGGCTGCAGTGTCAGTGTTGTGTTACGCTGCTGTGTCGGTGGGGCAGCTGTGAACGCTGTGCTGTCAAAACCCTTGTTCTAATGTTCTCTTTCTCTTTGTTATTGCTGCCATGGAAGAGGGTCAAGGTAAGACACATATCTTTGACACAGATCTTTGACTTGAGAAAGATTGGTCGATGGGGTCATACACAGCAGCTGTTCTTATTCTGTTTCAGACCTCCTGTAAGCAGGGCACTGCCACAGCCTGAGAAGCTGCAGACCAACAACGTGGGCAAGAAGAAAAGGACCATCGAGGTGAGACTGGTGTTACCTCAGGACAAATACACACATCCAAATAATGTTTTATGGATGTTGGCTATTGCAACCAACATAAGCCCACCTATCTCATCAAATAAGATTTTTACATTAGCATTTGTCATTCAGCAAATGGGTTGGTCATTGTTTTGGTAATGCAATCATTTAGATTGTGTTCTGCTTTGTCCACTCCAGACCTCCTCTTTAGGGACCATGATTTAACCATAATTACATCTTGAGGAAGTACATGTTGTGCTGTCCTGTCGTTCCTGACACTGACAAAAAATGAAGTTGTCTCGTCTCTCTGTAGCTATGGGGATTACCTTTGACCCTGGCCCTTTCATGACTCTCCGACAGGACCTGGTGCTGGATTTGGTTTTTGGTTACCGTGGCAATGACTGCCGCAACAACGTCCACTACCTGAATGAGGGGGCGGATATCATCTACCACACAGCTTCTGTCGGCATCGTCCTCAACCTAACCACAGGTGGGCGGGGTTGGAGTAGAGAAGGGATGTCAGAGTTGTGTTAATCTGAACAGAGTTTTACAGTACTGTTGAATGAGTCTTAATGCTGTTCTTTGAGATCCTAAATATGTCCTTTAATGTTCTTACGAGAACTGTCAATTTATATATATATTTGTGTGTGTGTGTGTGTGTGTGTGTGTGTGTGTGTGTGTGTGTGTGTGTGTGTGTGGTTGCATGTGCCTGCGTCTGTGTGTGTGTTTCCTTGCAGCCTGCCAAAGCTTCTATATAGAACATAGTGATGACATTCTGTGCCTGACTATCAATCAACACCCCAAATTCCCCAACGTGGTGGCAACTGGCCAAGTAGGTATGTTTGTGAGAGGTTGACCTCATGTTTTTTCCCCTCTGTGTTGTTACTGTGTGTTCTGCTGGGGGATTACTGTACTCCCCTCCCCCTCGCTTATCTGTGCTCTGAAACAGCTAACCTGTATAATCGAAATATCCACACGGTTGAATAAAAGAATAATTGTCACGCATGCTCTGTGCCTCACAATCCCCAGAAACCTATCAAACACACATGCTCTGAAAACAGCTGTTATTTGTCTCTAAAGAGAGAATGAAAAGCTGCATGTGGTAGCTCCTTTATGAGGAAAACTACTACAATACAGTATGCTGACAATAATCGTATTAACACTTGGACTGTGTAAAATAGTGTCATAGAGTTGTAGTGGTGCCTGTGATCTTAGTAGTATTTTTTTATGTTTTCATTTTTTCCTTACAGGTGATACTGGTGATATGTCAGGTAAGAACTTTGCCATTTCAATAGTTTTGGTTTTTCCCAGATAGCAGAGAATGTTATTCTGAGTGAGAGTGTTTCAATACACTAAAGGAAAACTATAATTTTGAAATGATCCCTGAAGATGTATTTCTTATGGTAGATTGAGAATATATCTCCTTTACATTTTAGTCATTTAGCAGACGCTCTTATCCTTCATAGAGAGCATGGTTTAATTGATTAACAGCTATCCAAATACCTTCTACTACAGGGATCATCAACTAGATTCAGCCGCGGGGCGATTTTTTTATTGAGCGGATGGTCGGGGGGCCGGAACATAATTACCAATAATTTGTAGACTGCAATTTGACCGCACGAATCCCAAACAGATGTAATATTTGACAAAAACATGATCATTTCAAACCTTGCTTGCATTTGTATACGATCACGTGTCTCTCTATTAAGCATGGGCATACTAAGGAACAGATTAAAACAATTCAAATAACTGGTGTCTTTACAGTCTTTTATGTCCAACAATGATATTTTGTTTTTTATTGTTAAGAACATTTGGGGGGCCAAATAAAACCAAAGTGTTTCAATACACTAAAGGAAAAATATAATTTTGAAATGATCCCTGAAGATGTATTTCTTATGGTAGATTGAGAATATCCTTATCTCCTTTATAGAGAGTGGTTTAATTGATTAACAGCTATCCAGATACCAGTTGGGGAACCCTGTTCTACTACATCCACAATGTTGATACACTGCCACCTAGTGGGTTATATGGGAAGGGCAAGTGTGCACCTCACACAAACTTGCTTGCTTTGGTTTGAAGCCTTTGCAGCTCTTGTTTGACCCCCACTTACATTAGTAGGCTACTTTATTCAAGACACGTTTTTATATGAATGCACCATTGATATTTAATATCCCTGATCAACTATTTTAGAATAAAAAAGTCACATAATCATTTGTGGATTTAGTTTGGACCAAAAGTTTCTGTCCTCTTCTCAGCCAGCATACATGAAGCTTGAATCTACAATTCTCTTGTTCCCTCCTTCAGCCACGTCGCCCTCCATTCATGTGTGGGACGCCATGAACAAGCAGACGCTGTCTGTCCTGCGCTGTTTCCACTCCCGGGGCGTCTGCTCGGTTAGCTTCAGTGCCACTGGGAAGCTGCTGCTCTCTGTGGGTCTGGACCCAGAACACACCATCACCATCTGGAAGTGGCAAGAAGGTAAACACCTAACACCAACTCAATACAGGCTATTCACCTCATCACGGTGCACCTGTTAGTGCCCAGCTGGAACGAATACAGGTAGATATATCACCTACAGAGCTTGTAATAATAAATCATTCTTCTCAAGGTGTCAACGTGGCCAGCCGGTCAGGTCACATTCAGCGGATCTTTGTGGCGGAGTTCCGTCCAGACTCGGACACCCAGTTTGTGTCTGTGGGTATCAAGCATGTGAGGTTCTGGACGCTGGCGGGCCGGGCTCTGCTCAGTAAAAAGGGCGTGATGAGTACCATAGAGGACGCCCGCATGCAGACCATGCTCTCTGTGGCATTTGGGGCTGTAAGTCCATTCCCCACTCTCTATTGCCATATGATACCCAATTGGACAATACAGTTACTGCATGTGCAATTTCCCTATGGAATATGTATAATCAGCATTAACATTTGACATTCTGCTTATTGTTAAGACATACTATATTTATTTCATTTATTTCCTAATGACTTGAATTCATGTTGAAAACATTTTAATATAACCTACCTTTCATTTCAAAGGCATGACAATGGTGTGCAGTATGACACATATATGATATATGTAGTAATAATTACATGCATATAAAAGCCTATTGAATATACTTGGCTATGGTTAACAATGATAATACGGATCAAAATGGATAACATGCAATGTCATTGATTCTTGTACTGCTTGACTGTCTGTGCAATTCTCCTCTGCTCTTTTAGATCACTAGATTAGTGTTGTTTTTTTTTTTTTCAGAATAACTTGACATTTACAGGTACCATTAGTGGGGATGTGTGTGTGTGGAAGGATCACATTCTAGTGAGAGTAGTGGCTAAGGCCCACACAGGGCCTGTATTCACCATGTACACCACACTAAGAGATGGCCTCATCGTTACTGGAGGCAAGGAAAGACCGTGAGTACTGCTCCTCTCCTCACTGTACCAGCTACCACTACTGTTAGCCCTCTGATCTCAATAAACTGACTTGGATTAATTAATCTACGTCTGCTATTTAATGAGTTTTCTTAAATAAATACATTTAGGAATGAGAGTATGAAACCTGAATGGAAACTCCGATTTCGGTATGCAGTAGTCACAACAGTGTTGTGTTTGGTGCCCCCTATAGGTCCAAGGAAGGAGGTGCTCTGAAGCTGTGGGACCAGGAGCTGAAGCGCTGCAGAGCCTTCCGCCTGGAGACGGGACAGATCATAGACTGTGTGCGCTCCGTATGCAGAGGAAAGGTAAGGCTCTCCACCATCCACTGGGAATAAAGAATAGTGTAATGGGCCATGCTTTGGTTAAGGATCAAGTCCACATCTGGATTTTTCATCCACATTTCCCTTGTTGCTGTTGTAGGGTAAAATCCTGGTAGGAACGCGGAACGCTGAGATAATTGAGGTGGGGGAGAAGAACGCAGCGTGCAACATCCTGGTGAACGGCCACATGGATGGACCGATCTGGGGTGTGGGCACCCATCCCACTCGGGATGTGTTCCTGTCTGCTGCAGAGGATGGCACTGTGAGGCTGTGGGACATCCCAGAGAAGGTCAGGAGCCTCTCAGTGTGTCCTGTTAGCTTTTTGATGGAATCTTTCTTACAGATGTATTGTACTTGATTCTACTGATGTGTTGTAAGTGAGGCACTATAAGAACCTTGTGTGTTGACTTTCTCTGTGTTTAATCTTTTTGGGGGAAACAGAAGATGCTAAACAAGGTGAACCTGGGCCACCCAGCGCGTGCGGTGGCCTACAGCCCTGAGGGGGACATGGTGGCCATCGGCATGAAGAACGGAGAGTTCATTATCCTGCTGGTCACCTCACTCAAGATCTGGGGCAAGAAGAGGGACCGCCGCTCCCCCATCCAAGATATCAGGTGGGGGAATCCCTCAAAATCACTCAGTGCTTATTATGGTGGAAAGCCATCCCAAGTGTACTGAGTATTCTTCTCTGTGTTGTAACAAATATCAGAGGACACATTTTGAAATTAACATCTTTCTTCCTCAGGTTCAGTCCAGATTCACGTTACTTGGCAGTGGGCTCCAGTGAGAATGCGGTTGACTTCTACGATCTAACGCTTGGACCACAACTCAACCGCATTAACTGCTGCAGGGACATCCCCAGCTTTGTCATGCAGATGGACTTCTCTGCAGACAGCTGCTATGTTCAGGTAGACACAAGATCTGTGTGTCTATGATTGTTTGTGTAAATGCATACTAACCCTCCAATATGAAACTCACAATATTCAGACTGTATTATTATTTGCTATTACCCAAACAGATATCTACTGGTGCTTACAAGCGGCTGGTGTATGAGGTGCCATCTGGAAAGCAGGTCATAGAGCAGTCAGTCATAGACAGGATAACCTGGGCCACATGGACAAGGTGAGTGTGTGTTATGTTAGGGCCATAGTAATCACACTACTGACATGGCCATATGAAATAATCCATACTGAGGACACAGGGGTTACACCCTGGCATCCGTCCTGGAAACCAATAAGTGGTCAAGGAGAGTGTGAATTTGTCAGTAGGCGAACGGAAGAGGGTGTTCTCCTCCTCGATAGCCACCTTTCATCGAGGATAGTCATGTGTACCTGAGTCCTACCTGAGTCCTTCGCAGAAGAGTTTTGATATCTGCCACACCCCCTTTAAAGCAGTTGTTTTCTCGAAGGAGAAAAGCATGCAACGTTTAAAAACGATATGCTGCTTATTCTTATCTATAAAATGTCTCGCTTTACACAGTTAAACGTCATTTGCCTGTTGATGTGTGAGTGGAGAGGAGAGTCTTATTTAATACAAGCACATTTTCGTCCACGTTCCTTCTCCTCGACGCCTCTCCTCGATTACCTTTGACCTTTTTCAAAAGGAGGCGAGAGAGGACGGAGGAGAGAGGACGCAGGAGTTGAGCAAATCCAATTGAGAAAAGGCCCGTCAAAGCACCACATGATCATTGGAGTTACTTCCTGTCTAACATGTGATGTTTCACTGTCTGGCCAGTGTCCTGGGGGACGAGGTTGTGGGGATCTGGTCCCGTAACACTGACAAAGCAGACGTCACCTGTGCCTGTGTGTCCCACTCTGGCCTGAACATTGTCACAGGCGATGACTTTGGAATGGTAAAGCTGTTTGACTTTCCATGTCCAGAAAAGTTTGTAAGTATAATCTGTGTTCTATGATGCTGATTTATGTCTCTGTGTAAATATTGAATTCTGGTTAAATTGTACCTTATCATTCCAAGATGGCAGAAATGTATACATTTACAATTATAGAATAGTGAGTTATATTTATTTATTTACGTCACTTACACTTACATTTATACTTTACATTTGTTATAACTGCTAATACTTGTTGAATCGATTACTCATCAATTGTATCATATTGCACAGTAGTCTACATATTCACTTTGACTTAAAATAGTACTTATTTATTTTGCTGGTGAACTTCCACTAATGTGATTCGGGCTTATGTTCGTGGTTTCAATGTGTACCATTCATGTGTCTCTGTGATGTTAGTGTGCCTGTGATTGACCAGGATGACATAATAACAGTGCCACCTAACCTATGCATCTATTCTAAATTCAGTCTAAATTCAGCTCAGCTACTGGTGTTTTGGGGTAGCCATTTTGCTAACACACTTCTTGTTCCCTGCAGGCCAAACATAAACGCTTTCTGGGCCACTCAGCCCACTTGACTAATATTCGCTTCACAAGTGGGGATCGCTTCGTCATTAGTGCTGGTGGGGACGATAGAAGGTAGAACTCCAGTCTCTATTAGTGAAATATTCCCCTGAAAGTCTCAATTTACAACATTGTCATTAGGGGTGTTTTTGGTTCATTGCAGCAATTGACAATTAAATCAAAATTGCAATGGTGTATGAAATACTGTAGCTTGGTATTAGACTGCTGTCTGACTGTTACAGTAATAAGTGTGTTTTGCGTCTTCCTTTTCTGTGTCCTCTGCAGCCTGTTTGTCTGGAGGTGCGTCCATGCCCCTCACTGAGATACACACCTGGAGTGACACATCATCCATCCACCACTGAGTCCACTCCAGGGGGCTGCATGGGCTTTTCCCAGCATGGCTATTCAGTGAGAAGAACCTGTTCCGCTGTGGGGAAAGCATGTCAAAATGGACAACACACCTGGCAGCTAGTAAACATGACTCACTGCCTCAACACTATGACTCACTGCCTCAACACCATGACTCACTGCCTCAACACTATGACTCACTGCCTCAACACTAGGTGCAAGCATCTGCGTGAGCCTAATTTTCACTCATTTTCATAAGCCCTGAGGTAGAGGGCATTGAGTCACTACCGTTGCAAATATCTCTCCAAAACATCACATCACAGTTGTAAAACTTCCTTTCATATCACCTGCACATGATTTTGATGGTCATGGTGGATTGGTGGAGTGTTTCTGTGTCAACGTTCTAAATGGCAGTTTTGCCAGTTGGTACGAGTACATGTGACTGATGAAAATGCAATTTTTAAAGACGTTTAACAAACTACCTTAGCCTTAATCTACTTTTTGAGTGACTGATGAGGTTTGGAGTGGTTTGATGTTTGTTTTATATGATTTCAGAGGTTTTCTTTGGACTAATTCTGGTTTGTTCTTATTTATTTTTTTGATTTAAACTCCTGTGGCCTTCCTCCTGAATGTAACATCCACAGTTATGTTCTGGATGTCAGCATGCCAAAGCATACTATGCACTGTACACCCGACCTGGTCACTGTGTTACCCTGACGGTTTGTGTATGTGACCGTGTTGTCCACTGGTTGAACCTCAAATCCCCAGCAGTGTGTGACCATGATAATTAAAATGTAGCGATCTTTAGATTGTGCAGTAACCCTTCATAACATGTAATGTGTGTGAATACTTGTTTGAGGTTTCGTGTATGTGTGCAATGGAAGTGTATGTTTCAATGCACTGTTGCATTTCTCCTTTGACCATTTTTCAGTGTGCTGCTATGTTACATTATTAAGAGCATACATATTGATATACAGTGCCTTCAGAAAGTATTCATACCCCTTGACTTATTCCACATTTTGTTTCGTTAGTCTGAATTCAAAATGGATTAAATATATGTTTTTTTCTCACCCATCTACACCCAATAGCCCATAATGACAGTGAAAATATGTTTTTTTTGCAAATGCATTGAAATGTAATACAGAAATATCTAATTTACATAAGTATTCACACCCCTTTGCTATGACACTCCAAATTGAGCTCAGGTGCATCCAATTTCCTTTGATCATTCCTTTGAGATGTCACTACAACTTGATTGGAGTCCACCTGTGGCCAATTCCATTGTTTGGACATGATTTAGAAAGAAACACACGTCTATATAAGGTTCCACAGTTGACAGAGCATGTCAGAGCAGAAACTACCATGAAGTTCAAGGAACTGCCCGTAGAGCGCCGAGTGATGAGGCATATATCCGGGGAAGGGTAGAAAACAATTTCTAGAGTGTTGAAAGTTTCCAAGAGCACAGTGGTCTCCATCATTGGGAAATTGAAAAATATGGAACTACCCAGACTCTGCCTATAGCTGGCCGTCCAACCAAACTGAGGAACCGGGCAAGAAGGACCTTGGTCAGGGAAGTGACCAAGAACCTAATGACCACTCTGACAGAACTACAGAGTTCATTGGCTGAGATGGGAGAACCTGCCAGAAGGACAACAGTCTCTACAGCACTTCACCAATCTGGGCTTTATGGGAGAGTGGCCAGACAGAAGCCACTTCTGAGAAAAATGCACATGACAGCATGCCTGGAGTTTGCAAAAAGGAGCGTGAAAGACTGAGAGCATAAGGCAAAATATGATGTGGTCTGATGATACGAAAATGTAACTCTTTGGCCTGTATGAAAAGCGCTATGTTTGGAGAAAACCAGGCACAGCTCGTCACCCATCTAACACCATCCCTACCGTGAAGAACGGTGGTGGCAGCATCATGCTATGTGAATGCTTTTCAGCAGCAGCGGCTGGGAGACTGGTAAGGATAGAGGAGCCAAACACAGGCAAATCCTTGATGAGAACCTTCTTCAAAGTGCAAACGACCTTAGACTGAGGCGACGATTTACGTTCCAACAGGACAATGACCCCAAGCCTACAGCCAAAGCAACGCTGGAATGGCTTCAGAACAAGAATGTGAAAGTCCTTGAGTGTACCAGCCAAAGCCCAGACTTGAATCCCATTGAAAATCTGTGGAAAGACTTGAAGATTGCTGTTCACTGCCGCTCCCCATCTAACTTAACAGAGCTTGAGAAAATCTGCAAGGAATAATGGGAGAAAATCCCCAAATCTAGATGTGCAAAACTGATACAGACATACCCAAGACGACTCAAAAATGTAATCGCCGCCAAAGGTGCTTCTACAAAGTATTGACTCAGGGGTGTGAATACTTATGTCAATTAGATATTTCTGTATTTCATTTTCAATACATTTGCAAACATTTAAAAAAACATGTTTTCACTTTGTCATTATGTGGTATTATGTGTAGATGGGTGAGAAAATAATAAATGTAATACATTTTTAATTCAGGCTGGAACACAACAAAATCTGGAATAAGTCAAAGGTATGAATACTTTCTGTAGGCACTGTATGTTTAAAAGTGAGTGGCTATTTTTACAAGGATACAGTGGGGGAAAAAAGTATTTAGTCAGCCACCAATTGTGCAAGTTCTCCCACTTAAAAAGATGAGAGAGGCCTGTAATTTTCATCATAGGTACACGTCAACTATGACAGACAAATTGAGAGAGAAAAAATCCAGTAAATCACATTGTAGGATTTTTTATGAATTTATTTGCAAATTATGGTGGAAAATAAGTATTTGGTCACCTACAAACAAGCAAGATTTCTGGCTCTCACAGACCTGTAACTTCTTCTTTAAGAGGCTCCTCTGTCCACTCGTTACCTGTATTAATGGCACCTGTTTGAACTTGTTATCAGTATAAAAGACACCTGTCCACAACCTCAAACAGTCACACTCCAAACTCCACTATGGCCAAGACCAAAGAGCTGTCAAAGGACACCAGAAACAAAATTGTAGACCTGCACCAGGCTGGGAAGACTGAATCTGCAATAGGTAAGCAGCTTGGTTTGAAGAAATCAACTGTGAGAGCAATTATTAGGAAATGGAAGACATACAAGACCACTGATAATCTCCCTCGATCTGGGGCTCCACGCAAGATCTCACCCCGTGGGGTCAAAATGATCACAAGAACGGTGAGCAAAAATCCCAGAACCACACGGGGGGACCTAGTGAATGACCTGCAGAGAGCTGGGACCAAAGTAACAAAGCCTACCATCACAAACACACTACGCCGCCAGGGACTCAAATCCTGCAGTGCCAGACGTGTCCCCCTGCTTAAGCCAGTACATGTCCAGGCCCGTCTGAAGTTTGCTAGAGTGCATTTGGATGATCCAGAAGAGGATTGGGAGAATGTCATATGGTCAGATGAAACCAAAATAGAACTTTTTGGTAAAAACTCAACTCGTCGTGTTTGGAGGACAAAGAATGCTGAGTTGCATCCAAAGAACACCATACCTACTGTGAAGCATGGGGGTGGAAACATCATGCTTTGGGGCTGTTTTTCTGCAAAGGGACCAGGACGACTTATCCGTGTAAAGGAAATAATTAATGGGGCCATGTATCGTGAGATTTTGAGTGAAAACCTCCTTCCATCAGCAAGGGCATTGAAGATGAAACGTGGCTGGGTCTTTCAGCATGACAATGATCCCAAACACATCGCCCGGGCAACGAAGGAGTGGCTTCGTAAGAAGCATTTCAAGGTCCTGGAGTGGCCTAGCCAGTCTCCAGATCTCAACCCCATAGAAAATCTTTGGAGGGAGTTGAAAGTCCGTGTTGCCCAGCGACAGCCCCAAAACATCACTGCTCTAGAGGAGATCTGCATGGAGGAATGGGCCAAAATACCAGCAACAGTGTGTGAAAACCTTGTGAAGACTTACAGAAAACGTTTGACCTGTGTCATTGCCAACAAAGGGTATATAACAAAGTATTGAGAAACTTTTGTTATTGACCAAATACTTATATTCCACCATAATTTGCAAATAAATTCATTAAAAATCCTACAATGTGATTTTCTGGATTTTTTTTTCTCATTTTGTCTGTCATAGTTGACGTTTACCTATGATGAAAATTACAGGCCTCTCTCATCTTTTTAAGTGGGAGAACTTGCACAATTGGTGGCTGACTAAATACTTTTTTTCCCCACTGTATAAGTGTATGTTTCTTGTAACCAGATATGATATTGCTCAACTAACAGAGTAAATTGAAAATATTAAATGTGCATAATGTTTTCCCTCTTTTTTAAATTATAATTTTGTTAAATAGATGACATGTTTACTGTATATTTTGATTTACATTACATCAATGTAAATATCGTTTGTAAAGATTATTTTGAATATTTTTTGTGAAATGTTTCTTAAATCACATTTTAATAATAAAAAAATGTATAGACAACAACATAAGTTCTTTATCAGGCAGAGGATACTAACTGAACCAAAAACCTATATCAATCCAGTAACTATTTGCATACAACCAGTGATCTAAGCTATGTAAATTTGACACTTTGGCGAGCTTTGGCGCGCTTAATAATAAACTGTTGAGATGATAGCCTGTTCGAAACGAGAAATTCACTAATCATTCACAAACATGTTGATGTTCCGAAACAGAGATGAGTATTTAAAATGGTAATGCCCTAATTAATGGTAGTTGCAGGGGTTAAACAAACAACAACTAAATCCCATGACTAAAATTGTCGATCTCAGATCGATTGTTTGAGGGGCCAAGTTAACCTCCCCTTTCATGTAAAAATACATGACCATCATGCTTTTAGGGAAAGATGATCATTTTGTACATGTATTAAACTGTGAGTTTGACAAATTCCTCATTTTCAAGATTTTAAAAAAAATAGAAAAACATTGAAAAAAATTATAAACAAATCCATATGACAGTGACGGAGAACATGAACCCTTGTAACATAGTTACCCAGTGCTGATTGATAGCCCTATCTGTGATTGACTGACCACACTTCCTAGCTACTCAATCATCATCATGACATAATCAGAAAGCTCTTAATTCAATGGGTAAATACACTGAACAAAAATATAAACACAACATGGAACAATTTCAAAGATTTTACTGAGTTATAGTTCATATAAGGAAATTCATTAGGCCCTAATCTATGGATTTCACATGACTGGGAATACAGATGTGCATCTGTTGGTCATAGAAAACCACAGTATCTGGTGTTAACATCATTTGCATCATGCAGCGGGACACATCTCCTTTGCATAGAGTTGATCAGGCTGTTGATTGTGGCCTGTGGAATGTTGTCCCACTCCTCTTCAATGGCTGATCGAAGTTGCTGGATATTGGCGGGAACTGGAACACGCTGTCGTACACGTCTATCCAGAGCATCCCAAACATACTCAATGGGTGACATGTCTGGTGAGTATGCAGGCCATGGAAGAACTGGGACATTTTCAGCTTCCAGGAATTGTGTACAGATCCTTGCCGTGCATTATCATGCTGAAACATGAGGTGATGGCGGCGGATGAATGGCATGACAATGGGCCTCAGGATCTCGTCACGGTATCTCTGTGCATTGAAATTGCCATCGATAAAATGCAATTGTGTTCATTGTCTGTAGCTTATGCCTGTCCATACCATAAGCCCACACTGGGGCACTCTTTTCACAACGTTGATATCAGCAAACCGCTCGCTCCCACACGACACCATCTGCCCGGTATAGTTGAAATTGGGATTCATCCGTGTAGAACACACTTCTCCAGCATGCCAGTGGCCATCGAAGGTGAGCATTTGCCCACTGATGATCCCTGAGGTGAAGAAGCCAGATGTGGAGGTCCTGGGCTGGCGTGGATACACGTGGTCTGTGGTTGTGAGGCCGGTTGGACATACTGCCAAATTCTCTAAAATGACGTTGGAGGCAGCTTATGGTAGAGAAAGGAACATTCAATTCTCTGGCAACAGCTCTGGTGACAATTGCACACTCCCTCAAAACTTGCGACATCTGTAGCACTGTGTTGAGTGACAAAACTGCACATTTTAGAGTGGCCTTTTATTGTCCCCAGCACAAGGTGCACCTGTGTAATGATCATGCTGTTTAATCAGCTTCTTGATATGACACACCTGTCAGGTGGATGGATTATCTTGGCAAAGGAGAAATGCTCACTAACAGGGATGTAAACAAATTTGTGCACAACATTTGAGAGAAATAAGCTTTTTGTGCACATGGAACATTTCTGGGGTCTTTTATTTCAGCTCATGAAACATGGGACCAAAACTTTACATGTTGCATTTATATTTTTGTTCAGTATACATCATGACCTAAATATCAGTGTTGAGTTTCAAAGATGAATTGAGTTGTGGAAGTATTTTTCTCTATATAGCCCCACAGTAGAAGTGTCATAATACCAATAAAACCAAGCAGTCAAACAGGGAAGTGGTTCCAATCATTTTTCCACCATTCATTTTTACCATAGGGGATTTTAGAAACACTTAAAATAAGGGCTGTGTTTCGTGTAGGCTTACCCTGGCATGACATTTTGATACCATGTAAATCGCTCTCGGACAAGGTGACTTTTATCAATATATTTGGCTCTATTTACTCTCAGATTTTTAAATGCTAATTAGCATCAAAGTAGACATCATGCAAAACTACAAATCCCTGCAAGCTCCTGCACCTCATCTCACGCTGACACATTTGCTAACAGGTAGTGTCAATTTAAAACTTGCACAAGATAGTTCACATAATTGTCAATTTAAAGACATTTTGCCAATTTATTCATTACTACATTTAACTTACATTAGATAGTTAATCCAGAGATTCTTACCTTTGCCTCTATTCGGCAGTCTCGTTCAGATCATCATGGCATTTGTAGTTCTTTATGATAGCCACATTAGCAGCTAATTAGCGTTTCATTTTTGGGGGGTTACTCCAGGCGAATATATTGATAAGTCACCCTGTCCTAAAGAGATTTACACGGTTATCAAAACATAATGCGAGGGTAAGCCTACACGAAACACAGCCCTTATTTTAAGTGTTTCTAAAATCCCCTATGGGAAAAATGAATGGTGGAAAAACGATTGGAACCATTTCCCTGTTTGACAGCTACGTTTTATGGGTATTATGACTCATTATGTGGTACTCTATGACCAGTTCAAATACACCAGCATCAATTTGATCCCAAATATAAAAGCCATGTAACATCCTTTTAACACTTTTTATTCTTAAAGATATGACCCATTTACATTCTTTATATTTACAAACACATCTAGGAACGGGATACACTCTTGCGCATTCAAACCACTCCAAAGCATAGTCTTCATTCAGTATAAATGTATAATTAATCAATATGACAATCGTTTTTTATATTGTAGTGAAATTGAAAACTGAAACCCAATCCATCTATTTGCATCCAAGAAATCTCAGGATTCTCATCCTCTTTGTTTAAGTTGTAACCAAGCATACTTTACCTGAAGATACACCATTCTGTCAATATGTTTTAGTTGCAGAGTTGCTATGAGGATCATCTGTGAATTGTGGAATAACTTATGCAACCATGAGAACACAGTCTCTGAATATATAATTTTAAGTGAAATGCCTATATTATGACAGTGAGGGATGGAGGGGATGAGGGTTTGAGAGCTGAAAGCCTCAGGCCCAGAGACTCATAACTTGACTGAGAAGGAGGTTCCGCAGGAGCAGCCGTGGTCTGCCTGGGGGTTCTTCAGCATCTGGAAGGAGGAGCGGATCATCTCCTGAGTGTAGTCCAGTGTAGAGCCTTTCACAAACTCCAGGCTATCTTGGTCCACAATGACCCCTACCCCTCCCTGCTCAAACACCCTGAGAGAAAGAAAGGAGGTGCAGGGGAAAGAGTTTAGAATGGATTCAAAAAAAGGGTATTCAAAGGGATTGAGGACAGAGAGATAGCATGTAACACAGTGTAATGATCAGATAACAATGATTTTGTTACTACAAATAATTGTGTTACTGCTGCATGCCATTCAACACGTTAAATAGTTCATTCATAATTTCTTCTTGAATGATTACAGAGGGACAATCAATCAATGACAATTACCTGTCATCCTCATTCCTAGTACTGTCAACGATATACTTGTACTGGAAGCCAGAGCAGCCTCCGCCTTCCACCTGTATTCTCAGGTACTCTCCCTTATCCATGATCTCTCCTAGCCTCTGAACAATACACAGAGAAAAGGGTCATTAGGTCAGTCCTTGACATAGTGGAGTGTCCTTGTGTCACTTGATCATCCACCACAATGTTGATGAAAGTGGAAGTGAGTGCTCAGAGAAAAAGAGTAGGGCTTTACAGCCCACATATATGGGAATGATTTCAAATTAGAAGTTACATTATATACTGTACATGACGAGTAAGCAATTTGAGTAAATAATTGCCCTAACCTTAACACATGATGCACTGAGGTATACTTTCTCTTCAACTGGACTGGACTCTGCTGAAACTGCTGGTTCCTCTTTGGCTGATGTGCTGCTTAATCGAGAGAAATCTGTGTAGAGGGGTTGTGACTTTTGGGGACATCTCAGTAATATTGGTTGGCCCACATTGGTGACAAGGGGAGCAGAGGCCCTAAAATAAATATAAGTATTAAGTCAAATCAGAGTACCAAAGAGGCTCAAGACATTCACATCACTCACTTTGAATATACACTACATGACCAAAGGTATGTGGACACTTGCTCGTCGAACATCTAATTCCAAAATCATGGGCATTAATTTGGAGTTGGTCCCCCATTTGCTGCTATAAACAGCCTCCACTCTTCTGGGAAGGCTTTCCACTAGATGTTAGAACATTGCTGTGGGGACTTGCTTCCATTCAGCCACAAGAGCATTAGTGAGGTCGGGTACTGATGTTGGCTCGCAGTCAGCGTTCCAATTCATCCCAAATGTGTTCGGTGGGGTTGAGGTCAGGGCTCTGAGCAGGCCAGTCAAGTTCTTCTACACCGTTCTCGACAAACCATTTCTGTATGGACCTCCCTTTGTACACGGGGGCATGGTCATACTGAGAAAGGAAAGGGCCTTCCCCAAACTGTTGCCACAAAGTTGGATGCACAGAATCGTCTAGAATGTCATTGTATGCTGTAGCGTTAATATTTCCCTTCACTGGAACTAAGGGGCCTAGCCCAAATCATGAAAAACAGCCCCAGACCATTATTCCTCCTCCACCAAACTTTAAAGTCACTTTCCACTCGGGCAGGTGGCGTTCTCCTGGCATCCCCCAAACCCAGATTCGTCCATCGGACTACCAGATGGTGAATTGTGATTCATCACTCCAGAGAACGCGTTTCCACTGCTCCAGAGTCCAATTGCGGTGAGCTTTACACCACTCCAGCCGATGCTTGGCATTGCGCATGGTGATCTTAGGCTGTGTGTGGCTGCTCGGCCATGGAAACCCATTTCATGAAGCTCCCGACGACCAGTTATTGTGCTGACGTTGCTTCCAGGGGCAGTTTGGAACTCTGTAGTGAGTGTTGCAACAGAGGACAGACGATTTTTACGCGCTATGCGCTTCAGCACTCTGCGATCCTGTTCTATGAGATTGTGTGGCCTAACACTTCGCGGCTCCGTTGTTGTTGCTCCTAGACGTTTCCACTTCACAATAACAACACTTACAGTTGACCGGGGCAGCTCTGGGAGGGAAAAATTTGACGAACTGACTTGTTGGAAAGGTGGCATCCTATGACGGTGCCACGTTGAAAGTCACTGAGCTCTTCAGTAAGGCCATTCTACTGCCAATGTTTGTCTACGGAGATTGCTTAGCTGTGTGCTCGATTTTATACACCTGTCAGCAACAGGTGTGGCTGAAATAGCCGAATCCGCTAATTTGAAGGGGTGTCCACATACTTTTGTATATATAGTGTAGTTAGCTACAATTTCTTCATCCAGATAAAAACTAGTTAATGCTGACCAACTAAGTACAAATTAATGCAACTCTATGCCTATACAACTGACCTATAAGGCCTAATGTTACACTGACAGCAGTGTAGTCTACTAGTTACTACTACTTACGCTTCGATCACACTGATAGCATCATTGCATTTTGGTACATCAGAAGTACATTCATTTCCAATGGAACGCTTATGCGTCAAACTGTATGCTTGACAGAAATGGTAGCAGAAGGTGAATGTTGAACTTTTGTTGCACAGATATCCAGATGCTGCTGCGTGCCATTTTGCGCAAAGATGCTATCTGTGTGATCGAGGCGTTAGACGCAGGGAAGAGGCATCTGCGCAAAATTCTACGCATACAGTTTGACGCATATGTTCAAAAATCCAACGTATGCACCACACCGAATGCACTGCAACTGCCTCTGCAACGCAATCGCAGGGTTCCATTGGAAACTAATGTACTTCTGGTGTACCAAAATGCAATGACACTGTCGGTGTGATAGAGGCGTTACCCCTTGATCACACCAATAGTGTCATTGCGCAAAATAGTATGCAGCATCATCTGGATATGTGTACAACAAAAGTTAAACATTCACCTTCTGTTACCATTTCTGTCAAGCCAAGCCGTCTATGCATACAGTTTGACGCATACGTTCTATAAATCCAACGTATGCACCACAGAACGCACTGCAACTGCCTCTGCAACGCAATGCTGCAAGGCAAACGCAGCATTCCATTGGAAATGAATGTACTTCTGGTGTACCAAAATGCCATAACACTGTAGGTGTGATCAAGGCGTTAGCTTTGGGATACAACATCGGGAGTCTGTGTATATTGGTTAGTATTGTGGTTGGGTTATTTTTTCCATCGCCACCCACCAGAACGATGCACAACTCAGTGAGTCCAACCAATACACCGATTCCAGATGTTGTGTCCGAAAGCTAGGAAGGGGTCCAGCCTTGGGGTCATGCATAAAGCCAAGGCTCCGTGGATCATTGCAGCTGGCTAGACCATGTGTAGCTAGATCAAGACACACAACGTTGACCGCTTCGAACACACCGACTGTGTTTTGGTACACCAGAAGTACATTCATTTCCAATGGAACGCTGCGTTTGCCTTGCAGCATTGAGTTCTGTGTGGTGCATACGTTGGATTTATCATATCATTTATAACGTATGCTTCAAACTGTATGCGTAAACGGGTTGACAGAAATGGTAGCTGAAGGTGAATTGCACACATATCTAGATGATGCTGCATACTATTTTGCGCAACGACACAGTCGGTGTGTTCAAAGCGTAAGTCCAAAGTATTTGTCTGATTAGATGGTAGGACAATGTTTTATTAACAGCAATCAAACTTTTACATTTACATTTATATTTACGTCATTTAGCAGGCGCTCTTATCCAGAGCGACTTACAAATACGTAGCTAGCTGACCAAAGCTTGACTGACCCAAAGTGATAGCCTATGCTAACTAGCGTTGTAATGTGAAGACAGCGGTCTCGACATAATTAAGTTGTTTATATGCCTTCTTAAACAATTCCCTTATATTTCAATACCCATAGAATTGCTTATTGTATACCTAGCAAGGGTCCATGCTCTTGTCTTTGTCGCACTCAACATTGCTCCTCGAAGTACGAATGACATCTTTCATAACAATGTAGCTAGAAAGCCCACCCCCAACATGGAGAAACCGCTCAGATCGAGACGGAAAACGATTGGTCTCGACGTCATAAGAAACGCCTACTCTTGCAATATATAACATATCTGATTCGTTACTTTCAACGCCAGTCAGCGAACCCCATGTAGATTCGACCACCGTAAATACGCGACATTTCCGTGACAAGGAAGGACTGTCTGTGAGCATGCACCTGAAGCAAAGATGATTTATAAGCAACCCAAGATAGACCAGAGCCTGTCGTTTCAAATGGGAGCAAATTAATCATAGTGGGCAGAACAAGCAAGGAGGTGGGCAGAGCCAAGCACGAGCTAGTGAGATCCTATTGGCGCGTTCTAGCATTTATTTGCATATTTCTGTTAGAGACTGCCTACTCTGTGAAGTGCCCGTGTGCAGTAACGCAATTCGCCCTTGCACTCCTTCTAAACAACGCACTTTGTAGAAACGTTGTCAAAGGGTAAAGTCTACAAAACACAGTCCACTCTGTTTGTTACATATTCCAGTTTTGGAAACAAAAAACTGTATGGCGATCAAATGTTTCATCGATGAGAAAATATGCAGAATGTCAGCAAAATCCATCTCGCTCAATCTTCTCTCACTGCCGGCAACTGGGCTTCCTCTCATCAGCTATTTGGTAGTGAGTGGAAACGCCAACCAGATGCTGGCTGGGATGCTTCACATTAATACATCCGGTGAAATATGTGGCTTATTGTTATATCTGTGCCTGAAGCATGCAAGAGAGGTTTGTATTAAAAAGTTGTTTTGTTCGCCTAATAAATATTTTTCACAACATGTTGTATCGGTGTATATTCACCAAACGAAGATAGAAAGGTAGTTAACTAGTGAATGTTGGCTTGATAGATTGCCAAACTTTTTTCGTCCACGACCCCATTTTGATATCTGAAAATTCTCGCGACCCCAACCATGTGATTTAAAAAAAAATTAACAGCCAATGTTAACTTTTTTATTTGGGGCTATGGCAGGTGTTGGTGAACACATAATTAGGAGAGGAAGTACAAACCATCGACGCTAGACAGAGAGGAATTTGCTTAAGCAAAAAGGCAGTTTATTAAACACAGAGATATCTGTTACTGTTAGCTACATGCATGGGATCCTGCTAATTAACATGCATGGACCTAATCATATGCCACGCTAATAGTGTCAGCTGAGAAGGATGATTAAACAGAGTTTACAGCATTACTTATACAATGTAACATAAAGGAAGGGGTCCTTCTTCTAGTCCCTTGATTGGTTCCCGAGGCGTAGGAGGCGGGTCTGCTCTGTCCAGAGCAGATGCCCCATTGGTGCACGGCAGAGTCCTCTGCCCTTGGCACCTGACCAGTAGACAGGGGAGTGGAGTTTTGAGTGTGCGTGCACAGTGAAATGTTTGTGTGTCAAAGAACTCGTGGGGAGTTGAGAATGAGTGTGCGTGCAAATGAAATGTTTGTGTGTCAAAGAACTCGTGAGGAGGATCTGGTGGTTGGGGCCTTGAGGCGTGGGTGTCGTCCAGTTATCGTACTCCTGTAAGATTAGGCCATCTGGTGCTCTGTTCTTTGTTCGCTACTAAAATGTTATGCACAGACAACTAACACACTGTTAGTATCAGACACATGACACAGAACATTTATTGAAAACAAGCTCCTAACACAATTTGTCTTGCACAACCTCTTGCACAACATATTACTCAGATCAATCTATAACATTTTATATTTACTACGACACAGGCAATTGCAAAACATTCTAACAGTATTTCTGATTGTCTTCTCAACTCACGATCACTTACTTTTAATGTGGGGCTATGACAGTCAATTGCAAATTAGTCTGACATAATGTCTCTTATCTCACCACCACTAATGAGATGGGTGTGCTTAATGTATGTCACGTTGGAGGTTCTCAAAGACAGGGGGCGTGGTCAACAGTGCGCACCTCATCTCTGCTGTCACATACAAGCTGGATCGATATTTGGTTTGAATGCAGATGAGAGCTCTGCTGAATC